AGCAAAAAGTGAACTTTCTAGAAATATGAATTTTTCTTTGAAATTCAGATACCGCCCGCCAAATGTCTTTTTGGTTTACCACGTCATATCTGACTTGACAATGTTGACAACGATGTATCAATTTAACAATAGACAACCGGGCTCTTTTCTGTCAAATATTGATCATAGATTTACATTATTGATGAGCCATTGAAAGGGTTTGTAAATCACATTGGTTTCTTGTTGTCAAATGATCGGCTGCTTTGATCGTACTCTGTCATGACAACGATTGAACTCGGACTGTCCTCTTTGCCCAGTAGAGGGTGCCATTGAAGTAGCTAATATCTCGCAGGTTTTCTCGCCATCGCTATCGATGTAAGGGTCATTCATGGAACCTGTGAGCTCGTGAGGCTTTGTGAGAGGTTGGTTAACGTCCTTGTAGAAAGATCGTTCCTTTCCAAAGTCACAAAGAAATACGTATAGCGTAGGTCAATGTAGGGGTAATGATTGTGGAGCGTCAGAGGCGTCAAGTATGACAGACATATATTATAGCGCTTTACACAAACTCTCAACATCTATTTTCATTGGGCGCTCACAATTCATCATTGTATTGTAGTACATGCCTTGCGTTTATTATTTTATTGATACTTTGACAACACTATTTCCAACCATACCAATGCATTGTGTTCAGAATTATAAAAAGTATATGCCTACCCTCCATTAATCAGTTTTTTCATCAAATTCGTCTCTTTGTCTAGGTTCTAAAATGCCTTAATATTTGAGAAACGTTACAATGTTTGTTACGTATAAATGATATTTATGATATACTAATTCATAGTATAACAAATTGATAATAATGATAATACCTGTTTCTTATCAGCGCTTTACCATCAATTAACCAAAGCGCTTTTATTAGCCCGGTCATTGGATTCTATCACCATTCTGCACATTACACTGCACATTCTCCACCCCATGAGGGCGTTAAAGTTATTCTCCTACATGATAATTCAACCACAGTGACGATCGAATCATTGAGGCACCCATTAACACCTGGGTGAAGATTATTGTTATGTAGATAAACTGTCTTGTTAAATTTCCATTCATGAAATTTATCTGAAATGATATGTTATTTTATCAAACCATTCTAAATACTATACTTATATCCATCATCTCTATGTCAGTATCATAATGGTGTCAGATACTTTGACCATTTTCTTTCGTAGATACTAAGATTCATGATATGATTCTGTATTTGTTTTAATCACTGGATAGGAAGCAAGTTTATCCTTACGTCTGAGCGTTTTTAAAGCGTTTCTTGGGATATTTTCTACACCATACCATTGCTTATTTTAGAAGTGACCTCCTCCCTGTTTCCTCCATCCGCACCAGGACTATAAACTCGCGTTATATTTCTGTCACAAAGATCTTTGCAGTCGATTATAAAATAAATAGGTGAAAAGAGGATTATTTTATTCCACAAAGTTGCCTTTATACGTATATTAAACAGCAAAAACAAAACTACGACACTGATAAGTTATTGCTGGTCATATGATTATAGATTGTGAAAGGACTGTTTCTAACAGTAACTGATTATGTAATATAAAAGAATAATTGAAAATGTTGGTATCATCAAAACGAAAAGAATTGACTCAATTTTCGGACAATTATATCCATTGCACACAGATAGATATAAGTATGGGTCTATGGACATTTGGGATGAAATTTGGGCCAATTTCCCCAACTATTTCTCATCATTTTTCGAGTATGAGGGCAGTCGAGGAGCAATCATTTTTAGGGGACATTTCTATTTGGGTTTTTTTTCTCTAAAAAATTACCTAGACCGATTGATAAAACTTACTAAATATTGTTCATCTTTACCAGAGTTCAACTTTCTCTTTATTTTGTTAAAAATTACTAATCTGATAGTGTATCTATTACAATATTGTCACGAAATTGGTTTCATTTCGTAGATAGCTATTTCGGCGTAGATGGCGTAATTCAAGTTAAATATACGACGCTATAGTCACGTGTCAATTTCAAGAATGTTTGATCGTGCATGTTTTCGACAGTTTTAGTCTAATTACTTTTCTACCATGAATAATTACTTGTTCTCTTTTGTTTAGTTTTATAAATTAAAACTAGTGCTTTCATTTGATATATGGTTTGTTTCAATCTGATATTGGAAAGTGAAGTTATATCAATGTTTATGTAAAGTTCTTGGAAACCTAACGAGAATAACAAATGTCTAAAAAATGTATATATAAATCAAGTGTCTCACCTTTCAAAGAGTTTCCTGACTAGGTCTACATAATTGCCGTCGCCCACTGGACACATTTACACTGCAAAGCAATCAGACTATGTTTGGATATTTGCCCAATAAAGTATTGCGTGCAACGAAATGATTGATATGATCGTTTGCATGTCTTTCCATGAGGAAGCCTAAGATTGATTTCTGATCTTAGGTGACGACCATGGTTAGGATCTAGGTTGTGCTTGTTGGGTCTTTTGCGTTCTAGCATTAGACAATACCAGGGGTTGCTCTTTCGTTGGTCCAGTGATCGTGGTCTGGAGTAGACGGATGGTAGGGACTACTGCGTAGCAGAGCCAGTGGCATGGTCGAGTAAGCTGACTGTACAAAGACAGACGGTCTGGTTGTTTGAAGGTGCATGCATGAAGCAAACTGGTGCGGCCAATTGAAGTTGCATGCACAAGCAGACTGGTATAGACGTCTGAAAGGTGCATGAAGCAAACTGGTGCGGCCAATTGGAGTTACATGCACAAGCAGGCTGGTATAGACGTTTGACAGGTGCAGAAGCGGAATGGTTTAGTCGGCTGGTGGTACACGACGGTACAACGGTTGGTAGTAGACGGTGGTGAAGTACAGACCTGTGACGGTCTGGTAGTGTCGACTGGACGGTGGTCAGAGAGGTGGTGTCAACGTCAACGGGGCAGTATATCTCTGCCAAACGGATCCACGGCGAAATTTATACCGGACTAGGAAAACCTGCCAGCAGGAGGCATCCTGACAAGATAAACTGCTGGGAAGAACATCGACAGGAACCGGTTTCGTTACAATATGTAGAGCATAATGGGTGAAAAACTGAATAGATCCGAATCAATACATATGAAGGTTAAGAAATAGGCAAATCAATAATTCAAAGAATATACGTTAAAGGTAATACAAAGTTTCGGGAAATTTTGAAAATTTGGCGGATAGTGATTCTTTACAATTTTGATATATTTGGATGCCCCTGTGGATGTATTATAAGCACTAGAAAATTTAGCCCCTAAAACACATTTTGATAAATTTCAAAACGAGTAGCCTACCTCATCAATGGCTAAACCCAACTTATTGTTCAACCTGGCCATCCCTTGTAACGGTTTCGTTACAATATGTAGAGCATAACGGGTGAAAAACTGAATAGATCCGAATCAATACATATGAAGGTTAAGAAATAGGCAAATCAATAATTCAAAGAATATACGTTAAAGGTAATACAAAGTTTCGGGAAATTTTGAAAATTTGGCGGATAGTGATTCTTTACAATTTTGATATATTTGGATGCCCCTGTGGATGTTTTAAAAGCACTAGAAACTTTAGCCCCTAAAACACATTTTGATAAATTTCAAATAGCGCCTATGGCCGTACAATGGTAGCTGTGACCATGAAATTCTCAGAATATGTAGTTGGGATATATAATTTCTAAACGGGAATAGCTAATTGGTCGATTTTAGTCAAGAAAAATTGTTTTATAGCTTAATTAATATCTTGACCTTGAGAGGGAGCTATACATCATAACGAGTTTATTATTTACAATTTTATAACTTTAGACTCGATTTCAACCGTGACAACGATCACTGCGGAATATCGCATATGCTTCCAATATGTTCATTTGAACCAAATTCATGACCCCATACCAAAACTTTGTATTAACTTTAAGATTGCTCTATATTCAGAACCAGTAACATAATGGCTCTGTTCTCCCTCGAGGTCTTAGACGTATAGGTCTACAATGTATATTGGTTGTTGGTTCACTAGAAGCAGTGGGTGCTGAAAACGTATTTAAGTTGAACGAAGACGTTTAGATTTCGAGCGATAAAAAAATCTAAATTTAAATTTCTACTCGTGAACATTATATTTTAGAGAGAATCAGATAAAACGAAACACATACGTTGTGCAAAACGAGTAGCCTACCTCATCAATGGCTAAACCCAACTTATTGTTCAACCTGGCCATCCCTTATCTGTCGATTTCTCTCTCTCTCTCTCTCTCTTTAATTCACTCATCCGCCTCTCCCTTCCTTCCCCCTTTCGTTCTCTAATGTGTTGTGTCCGCCCATGCCCCTCTCTCTTCCTCCTCCCCGCTCCATCTCTCCTTTTAAATCACTCATCGTCCACCCATCCCATCCTCTCTCTCTCTCTCTCTCTTATCTCTCTCTCTCTCTCTCTCTCGCCCTCTCTCCTTTTAAATCACTCGTCCACCCATGCCCCCTCTCCCTCTCTCCCTTTAAATCACTCATCGTCCACCCATCCTCTCTCTCTCTCTCTCTCTCTCTCTCCCTCTCTCCTTTTAAATCACTCGTCCACCCATGCCCCTCTCCCTCTCTCCTTTTCATCGTCCACCCATCCCATCCTCTCGATCTCTCTCTTCCTCCTCCTTCCCTTTCCCCTCTCTTTATTCGCTCGTCTACCCCTACCCCCTGTCTCTCTCCTTGAGTCAATCTCCGATCTTTTCCCCCTCTCTTTCTCTCTCTTTGCTAGAATCAAATGAATAGGATGATATTGTAAGGAGTATAATAATAATGATAATAATAATAATGAAATTAATAATAATAATAATAATAATAATAGCAATAATAATAATGATGATTCTATGACGACGACGACTACTACTACTACTATTACTACGTATAATACTAATAATAACGAAATACCGTCTCTAAGCACATAACAGTATTACCCCGGTCATTGGATTTATTCACGCACAATGTGCACCATCTCCACTCCCTTTGGGAGTGTAGCGGCGCGAAACTTGTATAGCGCCATCTGTGGCGTTAAGAAAATTTGTGCAACAGAAAGCCTAGTCAAAGGCATCAGACTTGATGTTTGTTACCATAGAATTCATGACTTTGCTCCGGATGAACAAATAGTTGGTAAGCTACGATACATGATTACTGTAGATAACTGATTTACTGTCAAATATATGAAACTAGTAGTTTCATATGATTGTTCATTTCCTGTGAATTATGTGCAAATAGTGAGTTGATTTTGGATGATTAACGCAACGTTATGTACAGAAGCCTATGTGTTGCTATGGGGCTATGAAACGCATTGCACCCAGGTATGTGTCGTGCATAAAGGGGTTTATTCATATAAACAAGCTCTAAGATGGTGCATGATTTAATTCGTATGATATGTTATAGTGACTTGCACAGCTTGTAAGAGTTAAAAGAGGTTAATTACCATTATAAGGAGTGTGTAGAACCGTTTCTGAGGGAATATTATTGATGTCAGTTGTATAGGGTCTGGAATCACATAGACTACTTTGTAATTGCTTAATTAAGGGGGCATTATGAAGCCGTATCTGTAGAACACCGTGCATTACAGGCACATTCTAAGCACAGGAATTTATGAAGATATATATATCAAGCAGAGACATAAATGAATACACTGTATAGCTGGATAGTTACATTCTTTTTGGAGTTTATTTCGTATATAAACATCACGTTTTACGTTTATATGTCAAGAGTATTTACAAGATTCACTGTAATGTAGACAGGGTTACATGCATTTAATTCTGTTTATATGATGCATATGTTTATAATGCTTTGTTACTTTGTTGTTGTTTACAGTGAACCGCTAATTGGATTGCTGATGATGATTCGCTAATTGGATTGCTGAAGATGATGATTCGCTAATTGGATTGCTGAATCGCTAAATGAAGATGACTTGTTACAAAAGAACCGAAATAAAGAGAAATAAGAACTCAACAAGTCGTTTGCAACGTTTCCTTTATTGGCGCGTTCACACAAAAGTTCACAACTTCGTTCTAGATGTCGGAGAAGGTCCAAGCAAGCAACCAGCATGAGGGGTCGGAAGCTGGAGAGCCAAAGAACGGCGTTGACGGGGATGCAACGGCAAGGAGTGAAACCAGAGCATCCAGGGACGCTGAAGTGAAATCGATGGCCTTCAGGGCGAGCATCTCCTCAAGCGTGAAGATGAGAGAAGCCGAGGTGAAGCGGCAGCTTGCTAGGATGAAGGTAGTACAGCTACAGAGAGAACATAAACTAAAACGAGAACAGTTTGAACTCAACGAAAAACTTGATAGACTCAAGATTGAAAATGAACTTGAGAACGCCGAAGCTGAAGCAAAATTGTGGCAAGAACATGAAACAAAGCCACAAGAACTGTTACAAATTCCAGAAGGTCAAACTCAGCAAAGAACTGCTGAATGGTGTACAGGGAATGTTGTACCGGTAGATATTTGTAATGAGAATCAGGATGTTACTTCCCAAAGAGTGTTGGGTGAACATACAATGCCAAATGCATATACATGTAATAAGAATGTAAATTCTGTAGAACATAATTTGTCTGAGATGATGATGGCAATGCACCTGCCCAAACCTGATATGACTTGTTTTTCCGGTAACCCTATTGATTATTGGAGCTTTTGTAATTGTTTTGATGTTAACATTGAGCACAAGGTGCAAGATAACAGGATGCGACTAACCTATTTAATACAATTTTGTACAGGCAAGGCAAGGGAGGCTATAGAGAATTGTATTTTGTTACATCCCGATACTGGATATTCAAGAGCTCGCAGCATCCTACAAGATCAATTCGGACAGAACTACATAGTAGCGAAGGCACACGTCGACAGGGTGATCTGCCGAGCCAACCTGCGCCCAAGTGACAGTCAGGCCTTATGGGATCTAGCCAGAGATATGAGGAGATGTCAAATGTCCACATCACAGATGGGTTATTCAGCGGACATGAGCTCAACGGACACACTGCTTAAGATACAGAGCCTTCTGCCTGTTCACCTACAAGCCAGGTGGGCATCTAAGGCTCACGTAGCCATGGAGCAGTCTGTAATTCCCAACTTTAGCCATATGACAGACTTTATCGAACAGGAGGCTAAGATAGCAAGCAACGTGTTCGGGAAGAATATCGGACAGTCATTCAAGTCAAGTTCAAGTGCAAAGCGACAGAAAGGGAGCGTGGGAGGCAGAGCTTCATCCTTCGCAATGGAAGGAGGAACTGACAGGCCTAATAACAGAAAGGAAGCATGTCCATGCTGCAAGAAGGAGCACCAGTTGGAAACCTGTTTCAAGCTAAGGGACTTGCCTCAGAAGGAGAGATTTATCTTCCTAAAGAAGAGTGGCATCTGTTTTAATTGCCTTAAGAAGGCACACCTAGCAAGGAACTGTCCCTCAGACTCGACCTGTAAGAAAGAAGGATGCAGTCTAAAATGGAAACACCACACATGGTTGCACTTTGAAAGGAAGGAAGGCCCCAACCAGAAGAACAATGAAGACAGCCCAAGTCAGCAGAACGGGGCCGGAGTGACAACTGGTGTGGAATGCCATACAATTAGAGGAAGAGCTGACGTACGCTTAAGAGTACTTCCTGTGAAGGTGCGTCATGGAGCCAAGGAGGTTACGACTTGGGCACTCCTTGATGAAGGAAGTGATACGTCCCTTTGTGAAAAGAGACTTGCAGAGGAACTGGGAATTGTCGGAGTCAACAAGGAATTCAGGTTGACTACAATCAATGGAGTGAACACTCCAAGGAAAGGAATGGAAGTTAGCATGACCATTCAAGGCTTGCAAGAAGACACTAAGATCGATGTGGACAGGATGTGGACTGTTGATGTTCTACCCATATCGTCCAGAAGTATACCATGTCAGGAAGATGTCGATAAGTGGCCTCATCTTCAGGGCATTCAACTAGTGACAGCAGGCCAAGCAAAGGTTCAGCTCCTGATAGGAGGCGACACCCCAGAAGCATTCTGGGTAGAGGAAGAAAGGAGGGGTCAAAAGAAAGATCCCTATGCGATCAGAACGCCTTTGGGATGGACGTTGATTGGACCTGCATCAAGCTCAAGTCACAGAAACTCGTACGGAATTCACCACATCTCAGCTGAGGAGCTTCATAATCAAGTGAAGCGGTTTTGGGAGATGGACTCTGGTCCAGGAGATGAAAGAGTTGGTGAATCAGTGGAAGATGTGAAGGCTAGAACCATCATGGAGAAAACTGTGAAGTATATAGATGGACACTATGAGATCGGTTTGCCATGGCGTCAGTGTCCACCAGTGTTACCCAACAACAGACAGCAAGCAGGTTCGAGACTGCAGAGCCTGAAGAAGCGGCTACAGAAGAATGGTTCCCTTCACCAGAAGTATTCCTCTGTAATGGGGGAATATATAAGAAAAGGATTTGCCTGCAAGGTTGGCGAAGGCAGAGAGCCAGTAGGGCGTGTGTGGTACCTGCCACACCACCCAGTAATTAATCCGCTGAAGCCAGATAAGCTACGGATAGTTTATGACTGTGCTGCTGAGTTTCAAGGGACTTCATTGAACAGCCAGTTACTCCAGGGTCCAGACTACACTAACAAGCTGGTTGGTGTACTGCTGCGTTTCCGGCAAGACAAGATAGCCCTCGCTAGTGACATCGAAGGAATGTTTCACCAAGTGAGAGTTTCACCACAGGATATCGATGCACTGAGGTTCCTATGGTGGGAGGAAGGAGACTTGGAGAAGCCCCCTGTAGAGTATCAGATGTTGGTGCACTTGTTTGGGGCAACATCGTCGCCAAGCTGTGCTGGCTTTGCGATTAACAAGACAGTGCAAGACAACAAGAGAGACTTTGATGAAGGAGTAGCTGAGACAGTGTTGGACAATTTCTATGTGGATGACTGTCTCAAGTCAGTTTCCACGAGAGAAGAGGCCAAGAAGCTCATCCCTCAGCTGAATGAGCTACTAAGAAGAGGTGGATTTAGACTAACCAAGTGGGTTAGTAACGACAAGGAAGTCCTGTCTACAGTAGAGACATCAGAAAGGGCAGCCTCTGTCGTTGATTTAGACTTAGACCACTTACCGATTGAGAGGACGCTTGGGATCATGTGGAACATGGAGACAGACACATTTAGCTTCAAGGTTAAACCCAAGGAAGTTCCAGCAACAAGAAGAGGGATCCTATCTTCAATGAGTTCCCTCTATGACCCGTTAGGATTCGTCGCTCCATTCATAGTAACTGCCAAGATACTTCTTCAAGATTTGTGTGCCCAAGGCAAAGGTTGGGATGAAGAAGTGGGCCAGGAGGAATTACAGCGATGGGAGAAGTGGTTGGCTGAAATTCCAGAATTAACATCCATCAACATTGAGCGCTGTTACAAGCCAACAGACTTTGAAGGTGTTACCAATGAGCTACACATATTTTGTGATGCTTCAGAGCGAGCCTACGCAGCATGTGCGTACTTGAGGATCGTGGGTAAGGAAGGACAGATTCACACTGCCTTTGTGATGGGAAAGACCAGACTCTGTCCATTAAAGAAGATGACCATACCGCGACTAGAGTTGTCAGCAGCAGTATTGGCTGTTCAACTGTACCAAATCATTCAGGAAGAACTCAGAATACCAATTGACCGTGTGACATACTGGACAGATTCAACATCGGTCCTGCTCTACATCAGCAATGAGAGTCGCAGGTTTCGTACCTTTGTGGCCAACAGGGTTGCGAAGATCCACAAGATCAGTGACAAACGACAGTGGAGACACGTCGACACCCTCAGGAACTCAGCAGATGATGGTTCACGGGGTATCCCTGCAAGAAGCCTGGATAGATGGCTTACAGGACCTGAGTTCTTGTTACAAGAAAAGGAAGTCTGGCCGGAAGATCCAGCAAGTTTGAAGAAGGAAGATGTACCAGAACTTGATCTTCAGAATGACAGTGAGGTGAAGAAAACTCATGTCTACGCTACCAGCTCACATGACGAGATAGATGATCTAATGACAAGGTACTCATCATGGGATCGTCTGAAGCGAGGAATTGCATGGCTACTACGGTACAAGCAATACTTGCGGTCCAAAGGAACGGGCAACTTGGCAGAAAGAGGAAGCTTGACAGTTCAGGAATTGAACAATGCAGAGGTCGAAGTGATCAAACACGTACAGAGACACTCATTTCCTGATGAGTACGTGAAGGGGATAGAGAAGAAAACCAGGAAACAAGGAAATCCCCTTGAGAAGCTGAATCCTGTCATGGTTGACGGACTGCTACGAGTAGGAGGGAGATTAAGCAAGGCTCCTATTCTGAATGACGAGAAACATCCAATGATTCTTCCCAACGATCACCACGTTACCAAGCTTCTAGTGGTTCATCATCATCAGAAGGTTGGACACTGTGGTATGGGTTCGACATGGACCTCTCTCAGAGAAAGATTTTGGATCAACAAGGGAGGTGCTACAGTCCGTCACACCATAGGTAACTGCTTCAAATGCAGGAAGCGTAATGCTTCAAGAGGCCAGCAATTCATGGCTGATTTGCCGGAAGAGAGAGTTACTCCGGGAGAACCACCTTTTACGAATACAGGGCTTGATTACTTTGGCCCATTCCCGACGAAGCATGGTCGCAGTACACAGAAGAGGTATGGATGTATCTTTACATGTTTATCTACCAGGGCAGTGCATCTTGAGATGGCTTATAGCTTGGAGACTGACTCATTCATACAAACACTGCGTCGCTTCATCAACCGTAGAGGTCAACCCAAGGCTATATTCAGTGACAATGGCACCAATTTCAAGGGGGGTCAGAAGGAGCTAAAGGATGCTCTTGCAGGGCTGAATTCCGAGAGAGTGAACCGATACCTCACACAGAAGGGCATTGCATGGCACTTCAACCCGCCAGGAGCAAGCCACATGGGAGGTGTATGGGAGAGGATCATACGGTCAGTGAGGAAAATCTTGACCAGTCTCCCACAGCAGACGCTTACAGACGAAGCGCTACTTACCCTCTTCACAGAAGTAGAGGCAATATTGAATGGAAGGCCTCTTACTCACCTGAGCATGGACTCCAGAGATGATGAGCCATTGACCCCGAATCATTTGTTGTTGCTTCGTAAGAACCCAAGTCTGCCACCAGGGATCTTTGTGAAAGAAGACTGCCATCTACGGAGACACTGGCGCCAAGTCCAGTACCTAGCAGGGCAGTTTTGGACCCGATGGGTCAAGGAATACTTACCCCTGTTGCAGCAACGTCAGAAATGGACTAGACCAAACAGAAACTTTGAAGTCGACGATCTGGTTCTAGTGGTCAACGAAAGTACCCCTCGTGGACAGTGGCCCATCGGAAGAGTGTTAACGACCTATCCAGACAAGCGTGGCCTTGTAAGACAAGTAGAGGTTCGAGTAGGGCCTCGATATTACAAGAGGCCAATTTCAAAGCTGTGCCTCTTGGAAGCCAATGTAGAGGCTTCTTCCTAAACACAACGAAGGTTGTTATATATGATGTGAAACATTTATATGTTATTGTTCAAAGAATTTCTAACATTACTAACTTGCATGTATGTCACAGTTTGAATTGTTTATGCAAACAGTTTTGACAAGATTTGTGAAAGTTAAATGGATGTTTGTTTTTGCTTTCAGATATTTTACAGGTATCGTCATTGCGTTAATGCATACCAAATGTTACTGTAATTCATTCATAGTTTAATGCATGCCGCTTTATGGTAATGTAGAAAATGATTTAAGGATAGGTAAATCATTTGGGGCCGGAATGTAGCGGCGCGAAACTTGTATAGCGCCATCTGTGGCGTTAAGAAAATTTGTGCAACAGAAAGCCTAGTCAAAGGCATCAGACTTGATGTTTGTTACCATAGAATTCATGACTTTGCTCCGGATGAACAAATAGTTGGTAAGCTACGATACATGATTACTGTAGATAACTGATTTACTGTCAAATATATGAAACTAGTAGTTTCATATGATTGTTCATTTCCTGTGAATTATGTGCAAATAGTGAGTTGATTTTGGATGATTAACGCAACGTTATGTACAGAAGCCTATGTGTTGCTATGGGGCTATGAAACGCATTGCACCCAGGTATGTGTCGTGCATAAAGGGGTTTATTCATATAAACAAGCTCTAAGATGGTGCATGATTTAATTCGTATGATATGTTATAGTGACTTGCACAGCTTGTAAGAGTTAAAAGAGGTTAATTACCATTATAAGGAGTGTGTAGAACCGTTTCTGAGGGAATATTATTGATGTCAGTTGTATAGGGTCTGGAATCACATAGACTACTTTGTAATTGCTTAATTAAGGGGGCATTATGAAGCCGTATCTGTAGAACACCGTGCATTACAGGCACATTCTAAGCACAGGAATTTATGAAGATATATATATCAAGCAGAGACATAAATGAATACACTGTATAGCTGGATAGTTACATTCTTTTTGGAGTTTATTTCGTATATAAACATCACGTTTTACGTTTATATGTCAAGAGTATTTACAAGATTCACTGTAATGTAGACAGGGTTACATGCATTTAATTCTGTTTATATGATGCATATGTTTATAATGCTTTGTTACTTTGTTGTTGTTTACAGTGAACCGCTAATTGGATTGCTGATGATGATTCGCTAATTGGATTGCTGAAGATGATGATTCGCTAATTGGATTGCTGAATCGCTAAATGAAGATGACTTGTTACAAAAGAACCGAAATAAAGAGAAATAAGAACTCAACAAGTCGTTTGCAACGTTTCCTTTATTGGCGCGTTCACAGGGAGTATTCCTACCATGTCACCGTGAGGGCAAATGGCCATTACTAACATAAATGCATTCGTCACTCTGCCAGGTCCCAATTTCTCTCCTGGGTATGGAGTGGCAAATGTAGTCAAGGATCATCAGTGGCATGTGACCACACCCTTCCAGAACCATCTATAGACAGAGTTTGGCCAACTTGGTTTCACTGGGTCACAACATGACGTATATTCTTTTGTTTTGTGCTTGCCCAACAAAGCAGTAGTCGCCATATTGTGTCCAACTCGAACCGGGTTGGCTAAACTCTGTGTATAGATGGCTCTGTACCCTACAAGCAAGGGAACACCCCCACCCATTGGCCCAGATCTTCTCGGTTTGGCTAAACTCTGTGTATAGATGGCGCTGTACCCTACAAGGGAACACCCCCACCAATGACCCAGATCTTCTCGTGGCCCCTCTATCTTTTTCAATACAAACATTTTTATTATTCTTTGATCTTCTCCGCGATCTGAAAAAATACAATTCAGAAATTTGTTTGGTGTTTTTTTCCTTTATATATACCATAGGCCCAATAATAATAATAATAATAATCTTTTAAAGTCTACTCCAAATTTTATTAAGTTATACCGAAAATGGAAATTCTTTTTGCCCAATTGATCGTGAGCCAGGCAGCCACTGAGCAGCGCCAGATCGACGTTGCTCTACATCAGGAGCATCATCATACCAATTTTGTTTTGTTTTTCTTCTCTAAAATGTATTAGTCATCATGCATGACAAAAGGAGTAACTGAAGACTACGATATCACTTCAACATGAACTTGGGTTGAACACAAGTATTGTATTTAAAATTAATGGAAGCAATTTAAGTTTCATTTAACAATAATATTGTGCAATCTAATTATGGAACAATGATGAAAGGGGAATATCTACTAGCCCTTATTATGTTCAACGTTCAACCAGGAGGATTCAGGAGCAAGGGCCTGCATCATTTCCCCATCCAAATAAAATCTGGCATAAAAATAGAGTTACGATGTGCTAATTATACATGTTTATTCTCTCCTAAGTTTGTTTGCTTGTCGGAGAATTTTGCTACTTGTCCCTCCCCTAGACAGTTCGGGGCTTTGTCTTTATGTAATTAAATAAGTCAAAGTTTCTTGAAGCTATAGTGCAAAAATTATAATCATGCAATCTTAAAATGCAAATAAGATCAATGATGTTAAACTATCTACAAAATAATGATGATTATAATAATATTAATAATTATAATAATAATAATAAGCAAATAATTACCGTTGGTGAAGGTGATGGGACAAACTATCACTTCCGAGGCGATCCGGAAGCTGAGGAAAGATACATTCTGATCGCCGAGGGAGTGATAGTTTGCCATCGCCTGAAACCAAAAGGTGATTATTTGCTTTATATTCCACATTGGAAACATTTCACTTCTTTCGTCAATTTAGAGCAACAAATCACCCATTTAGAGCTAGCAAACGGTGTACGATACGTACAGTGCATGTAGCACTTACGTACGTACGTATACGCATCGTATACAAGAAAGAGCGTTGTACTGTGTACGGGACGCGTTATTTTTTTCTGCGGCACAGGTTGGGGGTAAGGTGCGTGTTGAGCCTATGGGAAATTTTAGGGTTAGGGTTAGGGTTAGGGTTAAATCAAGACCCCTTTTTAAAAATAAAGCCCCAATCTGTGCCGCAGAAAAAAATAACGCGTACGGGACTGTGTAGAGAGTACTACCATCTACACAGTGCAACGAACTTTTCTTCTCCCATCAATGATGGGCGAACTATCTTTCATCACGTGATTTACTTTTGACCAATCGTAGCGCAAGATTCTTTCTATGTGGAATATAATAATAATTATACTCATACTAATGATGATGCTGATGATGATGATGATTATAATAACAACAAAAATAATAATATCAATGATAATAATAATAATAATAATAATAACGATAATAATAATTATGATTATGGTGGCTTCTTATAAATTAAGCGCTTAGGTCCGTCAAGCATGACGCTCATATTGGAGCTATAAATAATACAGTTGAAAAAACATGTACAACAGATACAACTGTGTGAAACAGAAAGCAGACAAAATCTATTAAATGAAAACAGCCATCTAACAGAGATAATTATACCTGGAGGAGAGATAACTTTTAAGATTAGGGTACAACGGGAAAATTGACATATAGGGTACACTATGCTAAATTTAATTGACTTAGCTAACATTACCGTTTGATTAACTCAGCTAAAGCCAAGGATGATCTATGTTACATCAAACATTCTAATCATCAAAATGAATAACTTCTAATCATCAATTAAAGCTTGGGTGCCACATAACCGGCTGCTCCAGCGGCTTGGAGCGTAGCGACCAAACCCCCTGCGGCCACACCTCCCCCACTGGCGACGGCAAATGACCCAGCAGTTATATCGGCCGTTGTGTAGCCGACAACATCCCACAGGACGTCTGACAGCAGATTGATTTCGGCAATGGCAGTTGACATCATTGCCTCGCCAAATAACACAGCGCCAAATAACACAGCAACAATACCGATCGGTGTATAGCCGATATGGACAAGCCCTGCAGGACCTCCTCCTACCGCGGCTGCTTGGGCTTCCCACAGGACGGTTGGCAACAGGTTCGCATTGGCGCTGCTCCTGAATGAGATTGATTCAGAGACAAGAAAGAAGTTAAGGCAATTAGAACATGATCATGGTATTGATAACAATGATTCAAATTAAAATTCAGTTTTATGGATTGATATCCAAACACACACATACATATTAGGATCATTCAACAAAGGAAAACGAAATCTAAGGTGACGTATTTACATTCTAACTGAAGGGTACATTTTCGGCACTGATAAGTGCCAGTTTTTTCTTTTGAAAAGAGTCACTTTGTCCCTATTAATTGACATTAATCGCATTGTCATCTACACAACTGTATCAGATTTTGAAATGGGCATCTATCAGAACTAAAAAAGGGGCAATTATTAGAGGGGTGAAGGGCACTTTTTATTACAAACAGAGAAAGAAGTTCAGATAAAAAAGCAGTACTTTACTTGTTACATAAATTATGAAAAAAAGACAGCTATCACAGGTAAAACAGTGCATCTATAGACACTAATTATAGGCACTTCTTTTGACAGTTATGTAAAAGGGAGCTTACCAGATTTGAAAGGGACACTGAGGAATGTAAATGTATGATACCAATGATGATGATGATTATGATGATGGTGATTATTATAATGACGATGATCATTATGATGAAGATGATTGCTATTTGATGATGAGGATGATACTACATGTATAATAGGGGTAAGAAGAAGCAGCAGGGAAATAAGAAAGGAGCTTAAGGTAGTTAACATCCTGCTCGGCTGGAGAAGGTTATGGAGAGAGGATTGAGATGGTTTGGACACCAAGTTTGATGAAGGAAACCAGCAGAGGACATTATGACCAGAGCAGTGGAAGGAATTAGCGGGGGCAAAGGAATGTCGAGATCTCGTTGGATGGATATTAAAAGAGATAATGAGGAAACTAAATGTGCCAGCCGTTCAAACAGGGAACAGAGCAGACTTGAGACGAAGGATTTGGGCAACCATGCACCCCGACAGATTCTGTCCGTTTTAATATATTTGTTATTCTTTAATCATTAATGTTCTCCTCCCATACATGCAGCCACCCCCGAAAACACACCCGTCGAGGGTGAGAATGAAAGGCAAGGACTGTGGTTTAGTGTTGGGGTGTGTTATTTTTTTCAGCAGATTGGGCGCGCGACACGGAAACAGTCCATGCAGGCAGTGGACTACCCTAGCTATTATAGTTCAGTAGTTGTATTAGAAGTAGAAGTATTAGTAGCAGTAGTATAAGAAGTATTAGTAGTATATACTTACAAGATAAGAAACACGAGAAACAGAGCAGCCAACTTCTTCATGATTATTGAGATGATGATCGCTTTCCAATGATACTGATAAGTGGTAAAAGAGAGATTTAAAAAAAAATACGAGAATGAAAAAAATGACGACGCCGATGATGATGGTGGTAGTGGTGATGATGGTGATGGAGATGATGATGGTGGTGATGGTGATAATGGTTTGTTTGTTTGATTTTATTTCTGCATTTTTCAACATAATAGAAAGTAATATACCAAACTAGGTGCAATATCATTAACAAATGATATATAATTATATCATAATATAACTTAATTAAATAATTATACCTTTAAAAAACACAGCTGACACATCATTTCAAAATGGAAAAACGCAAGAGACCACCATCTTTATAAGTTAGAGCTTTTTTTTTACGCCGGCCGGTAAATAAGAGGGGGGGGGGGGGGGAAGGGGTCAGAGCACATTTTTTTTTGGTCCAGTTTTTGAGGATTTTTTTTTTTTTGAGCTGGGGGGGGGGGGGGGTTACAAAAAAAAAGGTAAAATTTATGTTACTATCGTATTTTTTTTTTGTCCAGTTTTTGAGGAAGTTTTTTTTGTGCCGGCCGGTGAATAAGGGGGGGGGGGGGGGGGGGGAGGGGGGGGGGGGGTGGGATGGTAAGTGCACATTTTTTTTTTGTCCAGTTTTTGAGGAATTTTTTTTGAGCTGACTCAGCCGGCCGGTGAATAAGCGGGGGGGGGGGGGGGGGATGGTAAGTGCACATTTTTTTTTTGTCCAGTTTTTGAGGAATTTTTTTGAGCTGACTCAGCCGGCCGGTGAATAAGCGAGGGGGGGGGGGGGGGGGGGTATGGTAAGTGCACATTTTTTTTTGTCCAGTATTTGAGGAATTTTTTTTTGAGCTGACTCAGCCGGCCGGTGAATAAGCGGGGGGGGGGGTTAAAAAAAAGTAAAATATATGTTACCGTCTTATTTTTTTGTGTCTAGTTTTTGAGGATTTTTTTTTTTGCGCCGGCCGGTAATTTTTTCTTCTAGTTTTTGAGGAATTTTTTTTGGAGCTGACTCAGCCATCCGGTGAATAAGCGGGGGGGAGTATAATTATATTACGCGAGGCTACCGTACGCTCGACGTACAGTCGCCGTGGAACCACTCTACGGCATGGCTACGGCGTGTCTAATCGCTACGGGGAACCTAGAAATGAAAACAGTTATAACTCCATGTATTAATCCCACGTCGACCCATACGGCCTGTAAAGATACGGATACGCCCTAGGGTAACCCTGGGGCCACCTCAGATTGTCTGCGTCCGCCGCAAGTATCTCTCGATCAGGGCGCTTTAGTAACGAGACGGTACGCACAGGAGACGGTAACGCGAGCGAAAAAAACGAACTGCGCATGCGCGAATCTGAAATCTCTCCGTCCCGTCGATTTTCGGAACGGTACTCGGCCAACATAGCGTTCGTTCCCTAAACACGACGTAAGAGAGAGGAGCTGACAAATAATTGTTATCTAGATCTAACAATGCAGGGCACTACGATGACTACTGAAGATAAAAACAGGGAATCTACTAGTGATTCCAATGTCTGTTCGATTAGTAGCTTATTCTATACCCCAATCTACAATAAATTGATGGTTTGGCCGTTTAGGCCTACTTTGGGGGACCTTTTTCATCGTTATGCATGACGTGCCTGCACGCTGTGCACTACAGCCCACCGGCGTCCATTGCCCTTGCGCTCCGGCCAAGCCTCAAGGCCCTAGAGCACTAGCACCAAAAGGCAGCAGGCGTGCAGTTCAGCGCGAGAATTGGATACGGCTTTGCGTCCCCGTCGCCTTTAGCAGACAGCGAAAGCGCTTAAATATCACGACGGTAACAAGAGTGCGAGACCCGTCACAGTTGGTTAAACACTCCGTCTCCTGTGCGTACCGTCTCGTTACTAAAGATATCGGGGGCGTACGGCGCCGTATCCTACCACTCGTAACCAGTGGCGTACGCAGGATTTTTTCAAGGGGGGGGGGGGGGGGGGGGTTTAAAATCGGGTCCAAAATTTCGCAACGACTCAGGAAAATTTGAAAATCGCGACGGCCAAAAAGTCGCTCAGTCGGGGGGGGGGGGGGGGGTAAGCGGACACTTTTTTTTTTTTTTGCTCCCAAAAAAATCGCAACGACTCAGCCAGCCGAAAAGTCGCTGAGTGGGGGGGGGGGGGGGGGGGGGGGGGGGGGGGGGAGGGGGGGTAAGCGGACACTTTTTTTTTTTTTTGCTCCCAAAAAAATCGCAACGACTCAGCCAGCCGAAAAGTCGCTTAGTGGGGGGGGGGGGGGGGGGGGGGGTAAGAGGACACTTTTTTTTATATTTGGTCTCGAAATTTGAAAATTTGACATTTTGCTCCGTTGGGGGGGGGGGGGGGGGGTAAGGTCACCTTTCTTAGGTCAGCCATGGGGGTAATTTTTTTTTTTTTTTTTTTTTTTTTTAATTAATTTAAAAAAAAAAGGGGGGTTTAACCCCCCAAACACCCCCCCCCTGCGTACGCGCCTGCTCGTAACATACCCCTATTGGCGCCTTCTAATACTTACATAGAGCAAACTCAATGAAGCTTAATGATTTCCCCAAAAAAAAGCATTTAAGTGAATTAAAATAACAACTATGAAAAAGCATTCCAATAGCTATTGTTACTCGACGAGTTACCAGAGAATGCAAACGAACTAAATAGTGCAAACTCAATTCAGCTCAATCATTTGCACAAAAAAATTATAACCGTGTATTTGAACGTCAATCATGAAATGGCATTTAAAAGAAGTCAGTAAGTTACTCGATGTGGCGCTTAATCACACAAACATAGTTTACGGTTCACCTTCAAATATTAAATAGAGAAAGCCCAATGAAAATCAACATTTGTAAAAGAATAGCACTTCGGTGAATTAAAATAACAATTGAAAAATGACACTCTAATAAAAAATAGTTTTTTAATCATACGATTCACCTGCACATATTCAAATAGAGTGACCCCAATTGAGACTTCAATTTACAAGAAAAGAGCATATCAGTGCAACCGTGAAAATGAAGAGATATAATATCAATAATAATAGTATCAATACACAATCACTAACTAATTACCAAACAGGATATCCGCTCCTTGTTCAGTGCATACAATATGTGGCAGTGAATGTAGGCAGTGAGAGGGATTTAGTGTACCAGAGTTTGAAGTGACGTGTCAGTTGGGATTCCCCGCTAATGGGATTCCCCGCTAAACAGCGTTATGTGAAAGACACTCCATTCACCACGCCTTGTACGAGAGTGCATAATGTACTAGGTAGTACATATCAGGGCTTCTCAAACCTTTTCTTGACGATACGATGTGATTTCCATGAAAGCTAGAAGTTCCGAAACAATTGGCATATTTAGTCTACTTAATCAATAATTATTTCCATACATTAAGTTTGTTATATGATACATACGTGTCTTTACAGTTTACACGTATCTTAGTTTCAAGAGTTAAAGGTATTTTAAACTAGTTCTGGTCGTGCGATTGCATTATGAATAAACGTTGTGGAATCGATCAGAAAAGGTTGACCATCTAGCCTGTAAGTATTGGTGTGTACTGCAAGGTTCTAGAATCCCAAAATGATTAAAAATTTGGCCAAGTCATGGTAAAGTTACAAGCACTGTACACAGAAATATGTATATGGGACTACCCTATATCTATACAAATTTACAAAATTTACAAAATTTGTATCATCACGTATTAGTCAAAACATATTCTTTCACATGCTTGGTAATAAGACCTTCCATTTCATTTTTTGAGAGGGGGGCGTCTTTCCAAAACTGGTCTTTACCTTATATTAAGAGAGTCGAAAGTGTAAGTTCTGGTATGCATACAAGTGTATGACAAACCTACTGATTTATAGCAAACTGTTTTGCTTTGTTCTTTGTCATGCAAATAAGTGATATTCGCAACAATGTCACAAGCACACCTCCACGAAGTAGTGAAGACTGCCAGATAATCAATACTGTTCATGAATATGATTTGAATGGGTTTGAAATGTCAGCGAAGATGATATCAAACGCATTGTAATCCATGCTCAAAGATAGAGTATCCCATAAAGAATAAGTCCATGAAGTTTCATATTTATGTCTCAAAAGGTTTTTGAACTAATGAACTATTCACATATCTGAGAGGTGACAATTCTGCATTGTGTACAGTATAATATATGGGGTTCTATTCATGTTGACCCTTCGGAGTACCATTGGCGTTGTGGCGTGCGCCTGTAATCTAACAGTGGAAGTTACAAACTGATTCAGCCGAGGACGCAGGTTCGAAACTGAGTCACGTCTTTTGGATGGTGATGTTAAAGGTCGATCCCCAAACGTAAATAATCATATCTGATGGATACACGTCTGTAAAAACCCAATTACACACACACGGTCCCCTTTTGTCGAAATTAAATAAATTTGATATGAAAAGATAGGGGTCGAGTAATTCTTCCCCGGTCCTTTTAGGGGTTTGAAAATACAGAGCCTCCCGTGTGGTCCATATTGAGACACCTCGCGGTTCGGACTTTGAGGCCCGAATTCACAGAGGAGGTTTGTCGACAAACCTAGGTTTATGTGTGTCATATGACGCGTTTCGACGCTTTTTTACAAACCAAGTTGTGAATTCGGGCCGTACAGAACATAATAGGATCACATGTATGTGCTATGCACACTGGCATACTGATGGGACTTGGGGGGGGGGGGGAGTTGACCCCCCAAATCAAATTCAAACGTGGTTTATTTCTTATTCGATACCAGTGATTTGCAAATGTTGCTGAAATGGCATGGATTTTGCTTGTGGTTCCGGAGGCTCCGCCCCCTGGACCCCACCAGGGGCTGTAAGGCGGGCCCCTGGAATGCTCTTCTGACCGTAATTACATGCCTAAAACCCCTGAGCTTCCAGGGGGCTCTGCCCGCCGGACCCCACCAAGGGCCCTAAGGTGATCCCCACTTCAATTAAAAATAATAAGGTATCAAACTTAGCTCATCTGAGTGATCTGACCGTAGATAAAAATGCCTAAAAGCCTTGAGCTTTCGGGGGCTCCGCCCCCTGGACCCCACCAAGGGCCCTAGGGCGGCCCCTGACTGCTCATCTGAATGCCTAGAACCCCTGAGCTTCATGAGAGATCTTCCAGGGACCCGTTTCATAAAGCCTTTTTTTTCAATGACAAAATAATGACAAAAATCAGTGACAAATCTGCTGATAACCAATCAGAAGCAAGGATTTCAGTAGCTTATAACAACACATGTCATTTGTCTCTGATGAAAAATTCTGTGAAACGCCCCCCTGGTATAGGTTGTTGAGCAGTGTTGTAACGTGGGCTTAGTCACTATACTAGGTGGAGAGTGGCAAATGTAGATTTCTCGAACCGCGAACCATGCGATCCACAGTACGTCCTACGAAGCACCCATTGGACCACGACACTTCTATGTTCCTTGACCTAAGGTCATGATATGGTCAAGTTCAACAAAAATGGATGAACTCTTAAAGACCCTATCCGATGAAAATGGAACTTGATATAAATGGAAAACTAAATGAATGTAAAATACAAATATAAAGGAATACAAAGTGTTAACCCATTCATTATTACAAAAGCAAATTAAAACCTCGTTTTCCGAACCAAATTAAATTACGGGTCAACAGGGGGGCAAATTTGCCGAAGTTACAGTGACGACATAACATGTGGACCCGACCGGTTCACCTATATTAAAGCTGAGGTGATGAGCCGTGCTTAATTAATTTTAAGTCATTGTAATCAAGTCGAGAGCACGTTTTTAGGTCGACAACTTCCGATTGTCAAAGCTTTAGATTTTGAGTTTTCAGAGAGCTGGTACTCCTCTGGCAGACACTAAAATGGCATTTAATTGATATTATTGTAATCTATGGCTTTTAAGCTTTCCATTGATATATAATTCATCCATTTCATTGTTCAGTTCGGATATGGTCTTTAAGGCATACCTACACACAAAACGGAAATCTGGAGACAAGATTAGAAAGGGGCAAAGGCCATCTTTTATTATTCCCAATGTCAACAATATATTGTCACATGTTTGTGCACCCCAGGTCGATCCGCATGCATGCATTCTTTGTGCATATAATGGATATGAGAGATATACAACACTGAAACCAATAGGCCGACACCATATATTGTGATAGAAAATCATATTTGCTTGAAATGACAAAATAGGCTGAGTTAAGTTAAAGAGATCATCAAGGTAATCAATTTTGAGGAGTCGGAATCCAGAAAAGGATTCTGCACATAGCTTACATGACTTAAGTCAACTATTTTATCATCCTAACATTTACTATCTTCACAATGACCTCGCCGTTGCGATGGGGTATCTGCTCTGCTGGTATCATCTCGGCTGACTTCGTCTCTAGCTTACAAGGCCACTCGGACAACCATCTCGTTGTCGCCATCGCAGCTCGTTCATTGGAGAGAGCGCAGAAGTTTGCGACCAAATTTAAGATTCCCACCGCCTATGGTAGTTATGAAGAGCTAGCTCGGGATCCAAATGTAGGTGAGTAGAGAGCTACTTGTGTTTTCTCACAACCGTTATGAGTAGTGACGTATAGCTACAGGGGTATAAGGAGGGCATCCCCCCACCCTAACCCCAACCCCTAGCGAATGACGAAGGAAAGAAATAGAAAAAGGGGAGAGAAAAGAAAGTAGAGAAAGGAAAAGACAGAAGTTGCAAACGTTATGAGCAGTGACGTATAGCTACAGGGTAAAGGAGGACACCTGCCACCCCACCCCACCCCACACTAACCCCTATCGAATGATGAAGGAAAAAACGGGGAAAAGGGGAGAGAAAAAAGTGGAGAAAGGAAAAGACTGGATGGGAAGGATGAGAGAAGAAGACAATGGGACCCTTCCAGCATCCTCCCCATGCAGTTAGTGGCCTTGTTCAAATTTAATCTTCCGAGTAAGATCGCCCCCCCCCCCCTATAGATGATAGTGCCCTCTCCCACAGCGCCACTGCAGATGAATGATGGTATGTGTGGGCGTGTGTGTTAGAGGCAGATGATGAATGTGGGTGTGCTTGTGTGCGTGAGAGAGACACATAGTTTGATCCCCCCCCCCCCAACAACAAAAAACAAAAAAATGGTTTGAATTACTCTTTTAAGAATAGCTTCCGCTGTGGACTTCCACTTCAAGACGAAGATAAATCATCAGAGAGGGTATTTACAATCCTCTACGTGTCATGTAGAGACCACAGAGCAATCAAAGTGGGAATATAATTATCCGTCCTTTATTTCGCTTGTTTGCGTATATTTCTCATTATTATGAATTTTCATAGCTTTGGATTTGGAAAAACACAATATCGATGTTAAAGTCATTTAAGTTTCATTAATTCATGATAGCAAAAAAACACTTAAACATGTTGAAAGTGGCATCATGAAAGACACTTTTAAAGGTACTATGTCCCTTTTGCAGCCAACCTCAAATGCTGTAGAACTTTGCAGGAATTATGAATATGTCATGTATGTCCTATCTGTGAAATTCAAACGTAAGCAGTGTCCTCATATTCAAATTATGCAAGGAAAACCGTTTACTTGCTAGACTTCACTGTCAGACACTATTGAGTGACTGACTGGCTTTTTTTCTTCTTTGGTAATAACATACGTGAAAAGAGTTGTAAAGGGTACATGAGCATTAATTTTGTCTACATCAATAACCCACTTCTTGTGATGGCCAAGATTAAACTGATTGAATATTTGCGCAGCATAAAACGTATGACCATTCGGTACAATTTATTGTCTGAAAATCAAGACTATTACTTTTGGGCTCTATAGCCCTAAAGTCGATTTGACAACTAATAGTCGTTATTTTCCCACTTGAAGACATTTTCCAGCCCCACCTTTTTTAGGGAAGTTCTAAATTAGTATTATCTTTCAAATGCAGTTGGAATTTAACTTTTTCATTAGTTTGGCCTGCAAATGGGACATAGTACCTTTAAGGAAGTTTTAGAAAAAAACATACGGACATGTTCTTTTGGCAGACGTAGTCTACATCGGAGCCATTAACACGGAGCATGTTAGACTGAGCAAGCTGTTCCTCAACCACAAGAAAAACGTATTATGTGAAAAACCGCTGGCACTCACTCTACGAGAGGCTCGGGATGTCTTGAAGACGGCCGAGCAAAATGATGTGTTTTCATGGAAGTAAGGTTTTTCTTTAGTTTTCTTGGTTTATAAGACTTAAAAATTTTCCATTTTTATCGCTTCTTTGCAATTCTCTTTTTTCTTTTACAAGTAGTTTGTTTTCAGTCAATCCAACTTTATTTTCAAAGTAGTTTATTTTTGTACAAATAATTTTGAAATCCTTGTTTATATTTCGACACTAATAGCACTTACGTATATAAGAGCAGCATGGGGCTCAGTTGGAAAGTACCTCTCCTATCCACTAGAACATGAAAGGAAGCGCATGAAGAAACAAAATATTGTAAGGAGCAGAAAAACAAAGAGGGGAAGAAAATGAAAAAGAGGGAAAAGGGTATATTTTTGCTCGGTCACTTTGCTCTCACACATTTAATTATTATTGTAAAGACCGATGGCTTCCCCGCTAGAATTGCGAGATACAGCGGACCCAGTCAGGCCACTTTTCAAAATTGTTTTTCTTTTATCATAAGAATTGCTATAAAAAAATTAACACATATCAAACTCTGCTCTAAACATTTTCCTCGAGAAAACAGTAAAGGAAAAATGTGCCCATTGTTCTTGTTTAAAGTGCAGATTATGTTGAACATTGATAAAAGTTTGTGCAAAAGTTCGTTCTGAGTATGTACGCCATCTTTAAATTAATTCTCTCGTAGATTAAGCATATTTTTTATATATACATTGTATTGATTTTAGGGTATATGGACTCGATTCTTTCCGGTCTCGGCAAAGATCCGGGAACTTGTCTCATCCGGGCAACTTGGTGACGTCAAATCAGTGTTTGTCAATTTCGGACTTGATTTGAATAATGTCGAGAGATTATTCAAAAGAGGTGAGAACACAAATCATATGTTTGTAAAGTCTCTAGAATATAATTGCAACTTGATATCTCCTTATTAATCTCTATTACCTGGCCCTGTCTTATATAAATTAGTTGCGAATGATTTAAGTCTATCGCAACTTTGATAGTAATTTCCAAATCTGTACTGAAGAGATATATCATGTAAACGGGCGTTTTTTTTTTTTTTAAGTTTGTGATTGTTTAGGGAGCATACGCTCTATCTGGATCAATCATAACTCTTATTAATACGGTGCACTGATCAGCATATTATTATTGTATTCACTTATATGATAATAGGCTATGTAACGTTTAATTTTATTTACATTAGCGGATTATTATGTTATATTTTAATTGCCCTTATTTTATTTCTATTTCATTTTTTATTCTGGGGGTAATTTAGAGACTTGTCCTTGCGCATTGTGTAGTTTTGTAGTTATGCAGTATTTCTTGTCTTTTAAAATGAAAATCTACTTCATCATTATTGTTTTTATTTCATCTTGCCTCTTTTTCTAAAAAAAAATTAAAAAATACACGCTCAAAATTATGTATATACAAATGTGAACCTATGACGTCATAATGATTGTATTTATAGAGTTAGGAGGTGGCGCCCTTTACGACGTGGGAATCTACCCGATCCAGATAGCTACCATGGTCTTCGGTAGAGCACCCTCATCGACGAACACACACGGATTCCTCAATGCTGACGGTATGAAATAACAATTCAATTCAATTCAATTCAAGGTTTATTAAAAACATGTATCGCAGCTCGATGGCTGAATTGGTCATGTGTACAATTAAAAGACCCATTGCATATTTCAAACATAAAATACAGTTACAATATTGATTTGTCAATATTGAAATATATATAATTAATATGATAAGATTGCTTGGGTAGCAAAAACAATAAAACAGAATATAACATTAAGTCAGAAAAACGGAGAGAAGAAACATGAAGACAAGAAGTAAAAGAGGAAGATTATTATATGGATTTTATCTCATTATCAATTATGACCTACACAAAAAGAAGTGTATGATGACTGATCATTTAGAAATGTTATAGGCGTAGAGAGCACAGAGAAGAAATTTGGGGAACATGAAAACAAAATGAGACAAAGACGAAGAAAGTGAGACGAAAAAAGAGGTTCAGCAATAAGCATGGGTAAGAGAGAGAGAGGGGGTAAGAGAGAGATAGAGAGACAGAGACAGAGAGACAGAGTGAGAGCGAGGGAGCGAGAGAGAGAGATATAGAAAGAAAAAGAGAGAGAGGAGAGAGAGAGAGAGAGAGAGAGAGAGAGAGAGAGAGAGAGAGGGTGAAGTAGGAGGGGAAGGAAGTAAAGGGAGGGGGTGAAGAGAAATAGAGAAAGGGAGCAGGATTTCTGATTTTAGCGATAAGAATCAAAAAGAAACAAAAAGACACTAGTGAGTTGATATGAGGATAACTTGTGGGCATAGTGAGAAAAGAATGTATGAAAATATTGTAGGATGATGATATAATCAAATCAATAAATAGAGGATAAACAAGAAATTGGGATCAAGATTAATAAATTAGATAGTCACTGAAAACATAATTATGACAATTCAGCAAATGCATAACATTGGATGATTTAACTATACTTCGATATTTTTTTAGGAGTTGATGAGTCATATACGACTGTCATGAAGTTCCCTAACAACGCCATAGCAACGCTCTCAAGTAGTTTCAAAGTTCAGTATCCAAACGATGCCGTCATTATTGGAACAAAAGGGCATTTGCGGGTAAGAAATATTATTATTAATATACTTATAAATGCACGTGCCTGTTGAGAGCTAGAAGTGCCTTAACTATGTGTTAATAATGTAGTAATACAAATAATAAAGTAATAATAATAATAATATTAATATTAATAATGATAATGACAATAATGACAATTATAATGATAATGATAACAACAATAATGATGATAAGAAGAAGAAGAAGAAGAAGAAGAAGAAGAAGAAGAAGAAGAAGAAGAAGAAGAAGAAGAGGAAGAAGAAGAAGAAGAAGAAGAAGAAGAAGAAGAAGAAGAAGAAGAAGAAGAAGAAGATGAAGAAGAAGAAGAAGAAGAAGAAGAAGAAGAAGAAGAAGAAGAAGAAGAGGAGGAAGAAGAAGAAGAAGAAGAAGAAGAAGAAGAAGAAGAAGAAGAAGAAGAAGAAGAAGAAGAAGAAGAAGAAGAAGAAGAAGAAGAAGAAGAAGAAAAGAAAAAGATGATGATAATAATAAATAAACAACATTTTTACGATAAACGTCATATAAACTACAGTGAAACAAAAATGATATCATAATGCAGTACTTTATTGCGTCTTTAAAAATAATACTTAAAAATAATACTGTAAGTGATTTCGTTAGTTACTGGTAAGGCCCTTTTAAAGCCCGTCTGCACCAGCTTGGCCAGGGGATTAGACCTCCCTGCAAGGTCACTGACAGATGGTTATCTCATCAAATCAGCTTTCGATTAACATAAGAAAAAGGAGATCACGGGGGACCAACAGGCACCGATTATGCATTGTTTGTTATATAGAGGGCGCAAATAGCTACAAGTAGTGCAGTTGGGCTTTAAAGAACGAAGTACTATTATTTCTTGTTTCTCTTTCTGTTATTTCCCAGATACCTGCTCATTTCTGGGCTCCAACTGACCTGGTATGGACGTCACCTAGCGGCGACCCCATCGAGACCTTTCACTACCCTCTACCTAAACCATCGCAATCAGGGAAATATGCTCATGATGATCTGTCATGTGGTTTGCTATATGAAGCAGATGCTGTAAAACAAGCCATTCAAGAAGGTAAAACTATTTGGACAGGGGAGGATACAGAGGGAGAGGGGGTCGTGGTGGTTCAAGAGGGGCGTGCACCCTTTATTGTTATTATTATTATGTATTTGACCAATCGGAAAACATGCAATGAGTATAACAATCAGATAATATATAGACATTTCATAATACATGCAAACAGCTTTAGGAAAGTGGAGAGGAGAGAGAGATAGAAGGATACAATCTGCTGGTCAGGGGTGACAAAAGCAATTGAAATTGCTATTACTCGAAAGCATGTCACCCCCACAGTCTGCCTCCTGGAAAATTAAGAGTAAAGAACAGAATAAGAATTCACAATATGAGATAATAAATATATATCAGGATGAAAATAATTTGAACAATTACCATTATATCCTTGATTACTTTCATTACATTATTTTGTCATTACAGTGGCTTTACGTTCATTACATAAAACTAAAAAACTTCAGAGGGTAAAATCCATGGTATGCTCGTACAATATTTTATATGCTATATCTCTCTCTCTTTTTATCGTTTCGCTTCATTTTTTCTTAGACCCCTATTTTATTTTCGAGTTCATGAACTTTCCGTATAATGAACCTTGTTTCATTTTCGATTTTACAAACCCTATCTGATATTCGAAATGATTAAGTTTTCGGACCAAAGGCACCATCAGAACAATCCAAAATTCTCGGAAAGGGTGGGCACTGCACCCCTCCCCGCGATCCTCGCACGCACTTGAATGAATAGGGACTTGCACAACGACAACGTGGATTGCTACGATCGACGTCCTTTTAATGCACTGTCTTGAATGGACGTCACACGTATCAGTCCACGCAAATCTAAAAGTCCCTAATGTCAACAAAACTTCAACTTCTTTATTTGTTTTCATTTTAGGTAAGAAGGAGCATGCCCTCATGAGTTGGAAGGAGACAGAACTAATTGCTACATTGATGGAGAAAGCTCGTCGAGATCTCGGTGTTGTGTGGGTTCACGAAGGTCAATCAACGGTCATCGTTCTTGCATGACATTCATGTCAAAATCACGATCTTCTTATCTAAAACATCTATGAATTAAAGAAGGAACATTTAGATGGTTGGGAAAAGGAAAATTGGCTTTGAACTTTAGTCACGCCAAACCAACTTATATGACCAACCCCAATCAAACGGTCAAACCGACCTGTGGCCATAAGGGGTAGTTCGGTCTATAGAGTACCGAAGTGTGACGTCATAATTGCAAAGTTGTCAAGGTTGCTGGTTATGTGCAAACAATGGTGTGGTGATCACACCAGCCCCAAACATTAAATTTGCCCTGCTCCAGCTCGTTGCTTGAATAATTTCACCGTTATCCTCATGTGCATGCGATTGTGACGTTAGCACTTCGGTACCCTATTGTCTGGTATCGGCCTCGTCGCTATGACTTTAGGGTTTCATCATACAATAATTCGCTATGGTTAACTAATAATATTTATAATCATCTATTTTAATCTTTGAAAGATATGAATTGACTTGGAGAAGCCCTTCTTATTTCATATCGTAAAAACAACTCCAAGGGGGTGTTTCACATAGATCCTTAGTTGAACTTATCTCTAAGTTGGACTTAACAATAATTATGTAAAACCGTTAGCATCTGAGAAAACATTTTGTAAAAAAAAAATTTTAAGGCATAAAATGTTGATTCGAATCATTCATATTTTCTAGTATCAAGGAGATTTTATGTTCGTGATGTGGAATTTATAAAAAGTCAAAAATACTTGAATTTTCGCTTTTGAATATATTTTATTTTAAGGCTACAAATGGCTTTCCATAACTTTTAAGTCCAACTAAGAATTAAGTTCGATTTAGGATCTTTTTTAAACACGCCCCAATGAGTAGTCAATGAAAATTTATAAACGCTGTTTATTTGTTTAGAAAAGTGGATAGATTATACCGTAAAAATTACTGACGGAAAATATCCAGAAGTGAGATTGAACATGCTAATATTTTAGAACTCGATACAACTTTATTTAATGGTTCTTTGTTTTTTTATATAAGTGATGTGAGATTTTTTCTCACGGATTTCACGCTTTTTCTTTTTCAAAAATATTAAACAACATCTTATTTTGAAACGACAACCTGTTATGGCGTCTTGGATTTGCTCTTATACGACCAGAAATGAGACATTTTCTTGTTTATTGAAAAAAGTAGTCATGCCCTTTTAATCGTCTATACACTTGATAACTATTGAATTACATATGCATTTCTGCCATCAGTTTATGAGAAGATTCTCATACAGAATTTGTTTTCTTTCCGTGATAAGTGATATTTTCTTTCTTTTGTTATTGTACATTTTCATGTATTGCTCAGTTATTTTTTGATACTCTTGTTTTCCTGGAAATGAAATAAAATATAATAAATATATATTGTATATGTTTATCCATGTTCAGAAATTGCTCATGTACTGTGATGTCATTACATTGTCAATTTAAGGAGTATGGTTCAGTTGGGATTAACCTCCCTAAATTAATGTTGCATTATGTATAAGACATTATATAGAAAGTGTATTACAATATATTCTGTTGATATGGACGGCATGTCATTATCACTCGTGCATGGTTCTACCGACTCTACTGAAAAGAAGGAGTAAGAACAAGTAAATAACTGCATGTAAGACATATTCTTTATAGTAAGGGCAACTTTGAATTAGCAGATTTTAAAATTTAATGAAAGTTTAATGCCGTACTTTTCCAAGAGGTTTCTGAAATATGTAAGTTAAATTGATTCTTTTTAGGACATTGTTTGTTTATTTAATTGTATTTATGTTTGTATTGAGATAGAATGATATTGCATTCTTTGCCCACACAATTCAAATGATAGCCGCATTACACTCCCTCCATTTGATATTATTTGCATAACATTGACAGCGCGGAACGTGCATTCATAAATTCCCACGTGTAAAACACTTCTTCAACAAATAAGCCTCGAACAATTCATAATAAAAATGAAATGAGCTGGACATATACACCTAGGGCTAGGGAATATAGCGTATACTTTAGTGCCTTGGGTTCTGTGTTTTTTGTTTAAAGTCCTTACACAAAATCAACTAATGGCGGAATCACTTTAACGATGGTATGTTTGTCTAAGAGCTATTGACCCATACTCGTGCAGACTACCGATCAAAGTCCTGTTTTAATTGCTAAGATTGTTCAGATAGTCTCTTCAGTTAACTTCAGTCTATATAAAGAACACTCCCATTTCCATACCAGTCATATACCATTAAACAAACTAATAAAACGATCATTGACTCTTTGACAAATGCTATAGTAGCGTGCATGACTTGTGTAGGACTTTACAAAAAGTTAAAGCGAATTATTGCTTCCGATCGGGCCCTCGCCTCGCTTACTTTTTGTGATTTTATCTAATTATATATATTGTGCATCATCGAGCAAATCACACCATCTACTCCGACTTGGGATCCATGAACGATTAGATTCTGTTCATCAATAGTTTAGTTGTATAACCATTAAACATTTACATATACTTAAATATTCAACATTCAACATTCAATATTGAATATTCAAGCGCTGTTGTAAAAGAATATTTGGGAGGTTGCAGGGTGTGGGGAATATACTTGCATTCATTTTATATGTGCCTCGCTGAAATGCTTTTATAATCAAGAAATAACTGGGGCCACTTCCCAAACTCCTCTCTTCTGTACTCCTGGGGGAGTTTCACAAAGATCCTAAGTAGAGCTTAACTCTAAGTTGGACTTAAAAATTATGGAGAGCCATTTGCAGCCTTAAAATGAAATATATTCAAAAGCAGAAATTGAAGTATTTAAGACTTTTCTTAAAGTCCACATCAAGAACATAAAATCTCCTTGATAATAGAAAATATGAATGATTTTAATCAACATTTTATGCCTTTAAAAATAACTGTTAAAAAATATTTTCAAAGATGCTAACGACTTTCCATAATTGTTAAGCCCAACTTAGAGATAAGTTCAAATTAGGATCTTTGTGAAACACCCCCCTGGTCACAATCTGGTATCAATAATGTAATCTTTGACCACACTTTTAACCATGATAAATATCAATTATGCACATAAACACCCCTAACATTTTATGTCTGAATTCTATGTCATGAAATAGAAATTAAACCATTTTGTCAAAAGTTATAGTTCGCTTCTTTATTTTGTTGACTAAACAATTCAAGACATGTTAAAACCTCAAACATCCCTCAACATATTCAAGAGTAAATAATTATGTGTGTTTCAAATTTTAACTCATAAAAATATTACGAACCGAATGTTTTGATTATACATTTGAAAAATACAAATACTTGCTTAATATTATACATTTGTTGTGCTATTACCATTGTTCCATTTTACTTCAAATTATGATATATTAATCTTTCGAGGAGTATTTCAAAATGATTAATCGTTTTCTACTTTGTTTGATTGACTATTGTAACTGTATAGCTGGCAAACGAAGTGCATCTCGAAGTTTGTTTAAAGTTTGCATCATGATCACGAATAAGTCAACAAAGAATTAGGAATCAAGAATTTATTCTAATCAAGGAACACGAGAATGCCTTTTACCATGTTTATATAGTAGCATCATCAATCATGATCTTTAAGGGTAATGGATGATCCGTAAATAATGATGATTTGAAAATGCAACTACCACAACTTTCTGAAACCTTAATGTTCTCTTCTTATCGTATCACTCTGTTATTTCGAGCCTAGCTCTTCACTTTATAGGGCAGTTAACATCTTAAGAAGTATATGCCCACTCCCTTTCTAAGGCTTCGAGAGAGAGGAAAAATGGAACAGAGGTAATATTATGACCAATCGACTTAAAGATGTACTTTGTTAAATCAACACGTGTGTTCAGCTCAGGAAACGAATCCCCATTAACACACCATCTCTGCACAGAACGTGGATGGACGCAGCGCTATAAAGACGGTATTTATTGGCTCCAAGTTAGCTAGTGCACGGCCAGTGATTGCAGGAATAAAGTTTGATCTTTATTCATCGACAGAAAAGAAATTCAAGTCGTAAATCTCAATTAATTCTTAACTCAGATTTAGATCCTCTTAACATGCTAGCAAGGCAGAGATACAAACATAGTAGTTCAGTTTAGTGCTATGAGGACGGAAATTATTGGCTCAAAGTTCGTCGTTGCGCTAGTAGTAATTATAGGTACAAGCTTGCACCTTAGTTCATGAACATCGGATTGTGATACCCATCAGATGGCAACATTAGCTTAAAGTTCTACTTCTTGTTTCTAGAGGCTCCACTGACTTCAATCTTTGGAAGAGCACCACAGATGAAATACACCGATTTCCAAGGTGACATAATTTTATTGGAATTGATTTTTGGAATACTGCAAGAATGTCTTCGACTTATTTCGGATGATCTGACGGAGTAAACTTCCCATTTGGTTTATAGTTTACGAACGTTGTCTATAACATTTCCACTCAATAACGTCAATTTCTTTTTTAAAGACTTTTCTGAGGAACGCATTCAAAAGACACTTGCAGAAGTAAAAATGGACACTTACCAGAGCATACTGTTTTTGTGTTACTAATGTGCTAGCTGCAAGCTGATTTAATCACCGCTTAGCTAATTATTTTAAGGGAATATTAACTTGAACGGAGGAGAATCTCAGAAAACATGTCGGCATCGGATCTTGAAGCGAATCTCGATTTGGATGCTACCGATATTAACCCTGACGTAGATCTCAAAATAAAGAACATTGACTTGAGTGTTGTCTTGGAATCCCGAGCTCCGCTTAGATGGGGGATCTGTGCTACGGGCCTCATCGCACACGATTTCGTCGCCAGTCTCGTGGGCCATGAACACCAGCATGAAGTCGTCGCCGTGGCGTCTCGATCGCTGGATCGCGCGAGGAAATTCGCAGATGAATTCAAGATCGACACCGCCTATGGAAGCTACGAAGAGCTTGCGAAGGATCCTAAGATAGGTAAGAGTATGTTTCATGCAGACTAATACGTTGGCGACAACATAGGGCGGATCCAGAATTTTGTAAAAAGGAGGGCACATTACTATCTTTATGTCTTTGAAATAGGTATATTCCTTCAATGACCAGGAAAATAATTCAGGGAAATTATAGTACAATATTATGTAAAATATCAAGGTGAAAATTTCCGCTGAAATTGAATGCTCTTCATATGCCCCTATTTTGAAATATGACGAGAAAGGGCTGAAAACCAAACCTTCGTGCCAGATGTGTATGTTTCTACCAAAAATTAGTAATTAATTTCCAGAATTTCTATTTTCTTGGTTTTTTAAATCAAGGGGGAGGGACTTATATACTTACAACATGTAACTTGTAAAAAAAAAAACGCCAGTGTCTTTAAGTTCATAATAATTTCTCCCCCTTTCTCTCTCTCTCTCTCTCTCTCTCTTTCTTTCTTCTCCCTCCCTCCCCCTCTCTCTCTATCAGACATTGTCTACGTCGCCTCAATTAACACCCAACACCGCAAGCACTGTCTACTCTTCATAGAGCATAAGAAACACGTGTTATGTGAGAAGCCTATGGCACTAACAGTACGGGATGCACAAGAGATCCTCAGATCGGCAAAGCAACATGATGTCTTCTTTATGGAGGTATAGGCGTATTTTTTCCTACCATTTTTTCAAGTAATAACGATTTGAAATATCTACATGTTTAACACGCAATGGTATAAAGAAAACAGTTAAGAACTTAATATTATTTTGTTTATACTGTGTTTAAAGGGATTGGGTAACTTTGTCTCAGATTCTGAAACAAAATCCTGGATTTAGCTCATGCTGCAATGATAATTACAAACCTTTAGGTCAGTCAGGAACCCCATGACTTTTACAAGCCGATCGCCTGTGTGATTATCAAGATATTTATGATTGGAAATCGAAATCAAATTTTGCGGACACCTAAAGATAACACGTAGGGCCGTGCATCTCAGATTTATTATTGTTAACCCTACAAAGTTTACGAGTGAATTCTAGGGCAGAAAGTTAGTTAGAAAAGGCAAGGTCCTTAAAAAGAAGAAGTGAAGAAAATTGGAATATGAGCTTTTAGTGGTGAAAGAGCATGTCATTGTTGATAGGTGCTCTGGATTCGTCTTGTGGTGGTCTTTAAAACAAGGATTATGTGCTCAGTTTCAAAAGAGATCCAGTTGTGAAAGAGGGGGGGGGGGGGGTCAGACTGGGTGACACAAAATCACAGAGTCATATAGTTTCATTGATGACCTTCTTGTTTGACCTGGCTTGTTGTGCCCTGGCTACGCCTATATAACCCAAGAAACTGTTAACACCCTGGCTAAGAAGTACCTGAAACAAATTTGTGAAAATTCCACAAAAAACACAAGGATTTTTAATGCCTGATAAGAGAGGGCTAAAATAAGCCTAAATTACTTACGAATCAATTTTCTTTTCCTTTTTTTTATGATTATTATCATTATTATTATTATTATTATTTTTTTTTTTTCCGTTTTACCAGGGAATGTGGACAGCTTTCTTTCCAGCGTGCGAGAAGATCCGCGAAATCATCACATCCGGGCAACTTGGTGACGTCAGAGCTCTTCTGGCGAACTTCGGCCAGAATATTTCACACGTAGAACGCATCTCGAAGAAAGGTGAAAAATGATTATTGAAAAAATAGTCAGTAAATTAAATTAGTAAACCTAATAATTCTTCGCGATGTATGTATCGTAAATGAGAAGTTTAAATAGTTGGTAGGAGATGAAACTGCCGTTGATTCGATACCGATAGGCCTACAGCACTGATGTTCTTTTATCAAGGTATTTTTTCTACATTGTTACTCTTCACCCAGGTGATAAATGGATACCTGGAAGGATGCGAAAGTCATTGTAGATTGTTCAGCATTGCGAGCGTCTGTTAAATGGCGCCTGGCTCAAATGCTCCCCAGGGAGTGGAGAATTTGCATAGATTGTGTGCGGGCAAACCTGAATCCGATGACTAGGGTTATACATACAAACTCTGGATAAAAGCGTTTAGAGACACGATTCTTTTTTTTTTTTTAAGTCCTTAAACCCATTTTTACCCATTGCAAATCAGCGCGACCCGAAGGTTTATAGTTCTAATCAACGTCTTTAAAATACGTGCCTAAGTGCAATTTCAAATGTATTATTTCTCGTAATGCCTGTATCTTCAGAGCTATTAGGTTAATGGCTCTGAAATGGACTATCCAACCGTTTTATCATTCTACTATTGTTATATAAGACTTTGATTTTGTTATGTTGTGTTATTGTTTTTTATGATGATTTTCGGAAATAAAAAACAACAAATAAACATTAAAAAAAATCATTAACTTACTAAAGAAACAATGTTCATCAATATTGGTTCTGTTACCATGGTTACTGTCTTCTGCTCCTAGATCTCGGAGGAGGTGGTCTGTATGATCTCGGTGGATACCTGGTCTATTGGGCTATCATGGTGTTTGGTAGAGCTCCTGTATCATCATACACTCATGGATTCCTGAACACAGACGGTACGTACTGGTCGAAACCGGTTTTAACCACTTCCGTTGCTATTGATATTAAACTATTTAAACACAACAATTTAAACATACCTGCTATACTGGGCTATCATGGTGTTTGGATTCCTCAACCAAGGCGGTATGTACTGGCTGAAACCGGTTTCTACCACTCCAGTTGCTATTATTATTTAACTATAACTATTTAAACACAACACTTAGAATATACGTGGTCAATTGGGCTATCGTGGTGTTTGATAGAGCTCATGGATTCCTCAACCAAGGCGGTATGTACTGGTTGAAACCGGTTTCTACCACTCCAGTTGCTATTACTTTTTAACTATAACTATTTAAACACAACACTTAAAATATACCTGGTCAATTGGACTATCGTAGTGTTTGATAGAGCTTCTGTATCATCCTACACTCATGGATTCCTCAACAAAGGCGGTATGTACTGGTTGAAACCGGTTTCTACCACTCCAGTTGCTAATACTTTTTAACTATAACTATTTAAACACAACACTTAGAATATATGTGGTCAATTGGGCTATCGTGGTGTTTGATAGAGCTCATGGATTCCTCAACCAAGGCGGTATGTACTGGTTGAAACCGGTTTCTACCACTCCAGTTGCTATTACTTTTTAACTATAACTATTTAAACACAACACTTAAAATATACCTGGTCAATTGGACTATCGTGGTGTTTGATAGAGCTTCTGTATCATCCTACACTCATGGATTCCTCAACAAAGGCGGTATGTGCTGGTTGAAACCGGTTTCTACCACTCCAGTTGCTATTACTTTTTAACTTTCAAAATATAAATAAAACAATTTAAACAAAACACTTACAATGTATCATTTCCATTGAATCTTCACCCATATTAATTCAATTGATTTTGATTATATCAAAACCTTATAGTACTTTTAAGTACTACATAATAAACCATTCCCATTAACTTCTAGAAGTTTCTTTCAAAATATAATTGCATCGTCAGTGCTAAGTATTATCTCTAAAATTGAGTAAATGCCCATTCCCTTCATTCGATGTTATGTCTTTTTCAGGTGTGGATGAGACCTACACGACTACAATGCTGTACCTAGGTGGCGCTATAGCCACGCTCACGTGCAGCACCAAGGCGAACTATCAGAATGACGTCACAATAGTGGGCACAAAAGGACGAATCAGGGTAACTCACGTACAGACTTCTTCAAACATTGCGTTAAGTTCGCAAAGTTAGTGACCCCCCCCCCCCCCCCCCCCCCTCTCTCTCTCTCTATTCCTAAAATCAACTCTGCCAGCAAAGTTTAAAATTTTCATTGTCTAGCGACAAATCTCAGACATTTATGACCGCCCCCCTGCCTTTTTGAAATCGTTAGTTAGAAGCAAAGTAATGATAATGATATTGGTTAAATGAATTAAAAGAAAAGGACAATATCAATATCAAGTATCAAATATCAATATCAATACCCTATGCATTGCCTTTAGATATATCTTTCGGATTAGCTAATGCGTTTTTGTATTAACATTCAAGTATTAAAATGTTTTGAAAATTGAGCTATGTTAGTTTTTATTTTTAGATTAGCCTTTGCGATCCTTCAGCCACCCCAACCTAACATATCAAATTATGTCTTGACAGATTCCAAATAACTTGTGGCATCCATCTAGCTTTGAATGGATCAACGACGAAGAGGAGTCGACTTTCTTTGAGTTCACCTATCCCCTCTCCGATCAGTCGTATCAATTCGGCAAGGAATGGTCGGCGATGTTCTACGAGGCTGAGGCGGCCAGACAGGCAATAGCGAGAGGTTAGTCTGTTTATAAATATTTAGGAATATCTCTATTTTTGGGAGTCCTTTACTTATTGTCCTTAACTCACAAAATATTTCGGGGTATGACATTTTCTAAGGTGCCCTGCAATATAACAATTCTCTGACAGCAAGGAAGTAAGCAATAACAAAAAACTTAGGTATCTCTTTGGGGGGGGGGGGGTGAGGGGGCACGTTTTCATTTTCATATTGGATGTTAGAATGCAAGATGAGGTTTTGACCGTAGCGGTGGTGGTGGGGGTGGTGATGGTGGAGGGGGGGGGGGGGGAGGGGATGGGTACGTTGCTCCGTATGAACCGCTACTATCCTATCAGAACTTTGTAGAGTCTTCGTTGGTATATACAGGCAGGATTCTTTGGGAAAATATACGAGGGGCGGGGGCACAGTTATTTTTTCCATAATATATATGTTTGTAAAGCCCACTCGCCTAGCTCCATAACTCCCTTACCATTCATGAGGCAAACTAGATAGAATCCTCGTTATGGTGTATATACAGTTAACAAGTTAATTATTCATACTCCTCGTAAATTTGATGCTTTTTGTGTTTTTCGTAACTCGGGAAAGAAGATGGACTGGTTGAATTAGGGTCATTGTTGAATGTTGTGAGATCATTGAGATAATATAAGATTTAATGTGTCATTTTATTAAGAAACGTAAATAGGGAAAAATCCATTTACGGCATACCTTTAAAAAAATTAATGTAATGGGTATAAATAATTTAGTTCTTAACTGTATATACCGTAAATGCCATTTTTTATTTTAAGAAATCCATTTCTCCTCTGTTTGTCTAGGTATGAAGGAGCACCCCCTGATGAGTTGGAAATCTTCTCAGCTCATGGCTCGACTTCTAGAAGACGCGAGAAGAGATTTACGTGTGAAGTGGAACGATGAAGACCTTCCGTGAAACCTGGGCCACGCTATCGAGACTGTTTTTATACTACTTTTCTGGGCCTGGTCACACTCGCCATCAGTTTAGAAAGGAAGGATATAATACTTAATGTCGATCAGAGGTAGAACAGAAGCGAGTAAAACAAGTTTTGTGTCCAGCTTGTGACGCATTGTTATTCATTATTTGCACAAAAGCGAAGTTTCATTCGTAACATTACGGACTTTTAGATTTGCACGTCGACATAGTGGACTGCTACGTGTGACATCATTTTAAGGCAATGTGAAATCCTTTTAAAGCCCCACTGTCCTACTTGTAGCTACTTGCTCCCTCTATATAGAAAACTTCCCCAATCGGTGCCTGTTGGTCCCCCATGATCCTCTATTTCTTATGTTATTTCAGAGCTGAGTTGATGAGATAGCCACCTGTCAGTGACCTCGCTGTGTGGTCTAATCCCTCCTGTCGACGTGTGAATCTAAAAGTCCCTGTTGGCGCATTTGCACATGGGCTATATTGTCAATCATGAGACAATAATATTAGGGGTGGTATTTATTAAACTATTATATTTTCAGTACTTTGTAAATTGCATGGATTCAACTGATACAAGCTTTCAGGATGAGCTGTACGTATGACAAAATTATCTAATTGTACATATGCAAAGACCAGCAGTAATATTGATTACGAAATAACTTGATATTTTCAAACAAAATTGACGCAGAAGTTGTAGTCAATCAGGCAGGGCCTTAATGTAGTTATAAAGTTATTCTGAAATATATGGCGAACATTATGATTGAAAGGATTATCATTTCAGAAATATAAGTTCTACAGAAATTAAACATACACAAACGAAATATTGATTCATAATTTGAGGTTGTTTTGAACAGAGGAAAAAATATGGTAAATAATGTGAAGCATCTGACGACCGAGGGCGCTAGATTAGTATGGGAAGCAGAACTATCAATGCGCTGATGGCTGGATGGGGTGGATAGATTGGGAAGGGTGTGAGAGAGAGAGAGAGAGAGAGAGAGAGAGAGAGAGAGAGAGAGAAAGAGAGAGAGAGAGAGGGGTGGAGAGTGAGGGAAGGAGAAAGAGGGGAAGGGAGGGAGAGAGAAGGAGAGAGAGAGAAATAAAGCGAGAGAGAGAGAAAGAGAGAGATAGGGGATGGAGAGTGAGGGGAAGAAGAAAGAGGGGAAGGGAGATAGATAGATAGATAGAAAGAGAGAGAGAGAGAGAGAGGGGAGCGAGAGAGAGAAAGAGAGAGGGGGTGAGAAAAGAGAGAGAGAGAGATGTTTTTTTTTGGGGGGGGGGGTAGAGTGGGCGTCTGATGTGGAAGAAAGAGGGGCCCTTTTGTCCACATTATCTCTCGTCCTCCTGTCTTTTGATCCCTATTACTGCATCTACTGCCCTTTCATCTCAATATTCTCTGTTTTAATGCATGGTCCTTTCTTTTTAGTGCTACGATTTTTTTTTTAATTCGGTCTTGTTGAGTCTTACGGTACTTGGGCAGAGTTGGCTCGTCAGCGGTTATGACCCTGTTGGAAGTAAAGTCATGAACAATCATTTCTTCTTATTATTTTTCTTCTTCATAATCCTCTCCTTCTTCTTCTTTTTCTTCCTATTCGCCCGTTAAAGGCGAAGATTAGTGAAGACATAACCTCGATGCAATCAGATCAAAATGGATCTTGACTTGAGAAACAAAAAAGAAAAGTCAAAAGAGATTTAATTATTAGGTAGACCCAAAGCTGCCAAAACGTCCCCACCCCACACCGCCTTTAAAAAGAAAGAAAAAAAACCTTACAGGGCAGAAAAATAGACCACTGCCACACCTTCCGGTGCTACGACGATATACATAGATATATAAATGTTTCTTTTTTCAAAAGGGGAGAGGGTCGAATTATCACTGTGCTACTTTCACAATCTGCACGTATACCATTCATCTAGACCAAGATTTCGTCATCCCACTACCCCCTCTCATCGATTCTACCACCCCTTCTGACCTCAGGGTATTAAACAGGTCGTCCTTTCCTCCCATTCTTTAACCCCCCCCCCCCCCTTTCCACCACCACACCCACCTCCCTGCCCCCATTCACCCCTAAAAAAATCAATACATGGTGGCAGATCGCTGAACTGTGTGTGAAACGCAGGGGGCGGTCGTCGTTACCAAGCGTTGCTATGAACGAGTTTTAAAGCTGCTATTGAAGTGATTCAAAAGGTTGTTCACGCTTCAATACGATGAGAGATAATAGAATACGCGAGATAATGAATCCTCTCCACTCAAAGGATTACCACCCTCATGCCAGATATTTTTCAATAAAAACAAGATGGCAGATAACTGAATCCAAGTCTCTCGATTGAAGCGTTTTACGATTACTTTTGGTGGAGTTTAATCAAACGGCTCGACGGTAATGACTTTGGTTTAGCACTCTGGTGTAAAAAGACGATTCATAAAGCATAACTTCGCAAGAAACAGGTAATTATGAAATGTTTTTTCTGCTTTTGGTATTATTTGCATTAGATATTGGATAGGTTTCTATATGTGTTGTGCATTATGACGGTGATAACCACACTTTCAGAATTAGATGTGTGTTATGCCCGGTGTTTTGATTTATTGCACTGACATGTGTACCCAACCTCGCACGGAGATAATGAAACTGAGCTCTTGTGAGTACAGTATTAACTTCGATATTGGAATTTGAGCTCATAAGTCTATACTTACACCATTGATATGACGTTGTGTGCTTATTAACCAACTTGAATAGCGTACAAGACAGTGTGTTATGCTACATAATAATATTATGCATAGTCATAGGCCTATAGGGATTTTAAATTATATATTTAAGTTTAAATACGATATTCATTAAGCCTCGAAACATATTTCATATCGCATTAACTAGCCTATGTGCATCATCATGACTTCGTTTGTATTTGTGTGTTATCAAGATACGATACAATATCATGTCTAGCGCATAGATGGCCTAAGTTATACTTATTATCACGCGTTTGCTAATGGCTTCAATATGAGTGACCATCGCCCAACCTATTTTGGATGATAAATCAATAATAATGTTCGTCATTGCCATGGATACGGACTAATCAACAATAATTGTAATGATAAACCACATATCTATAGGAACGGGATAATGGGGTGCTGTGTAGAAGTAGCTGTATGGAAGGTTCTGAGATTTTTTGGAATGAAAATGCAACCCCAGTAGAGAAAAAAAATGCACCAAGGTGCCTGATCTTAACCCATACTGCAAATATTAACTGACGCTTCGGTGATTTAAAATGAAAGCCGCTGTTTGTGAAGTTTTGAGGAAAAACAAAAATGAGCTCTATTTAAAAGAGTTTCCTTTTTTTAAGAACATGAACTGCACTCAATACTAGTGTTTTCATACTCGTATCATATTTCATTGTGGGATCACAAAAATAATGTGTGCTTTCTGTTCGTAAATACACATTAAGTTTAATCAAACATGAACATTTTGCAAACATATTTGAACCTTGCCCCGTATAAGCCTCTTTTTTGGTTTAATACTAACTGCTGAATTTGACACCAGATACATGAGAAAGAATACTGCGGTATAAGGGACATTTGAAGATGAAATGAATTTCCTACCTTTCATTTACAATCAACACAATATAAGGGGGAGTATAGACTTATAGAATATAAGGACCGCATGAATTGCTTGATGACATTGTATGTGGTGTATTCCCTTTCCCTCTACTTTATATTTTAATATTCATCGATTTACCCGTAATTATCGTTGTTATTAGAACCATCCGGAACTATTATGAAGCGAAATAAGAAACATATAAATTAAAGTAAAGTGTAGAAAATGTACACATTAGTAACAGAAAGGGCAATTGATCTCTAAATGTTAAAAATAAGACAAAAAAGGAATTCGGAGAAAATTTGTTGTGAGTTAAAAAGAGTTTAACAAATGAGTTAACATTAGACCCTTATTGCTTTCACCAGTTTACATGTACAGTACTTTCATTTGAAAGAAATGATAAGATGAAGAAAGCTGTTTTGCACGCAAGTCTACCGTGACGGGTGCTACATCAGAATGGTTTCGCACGATCCTCTGAATGTCACACTGAGGTGAAGGTCACAACTTCTGACCTCCTGCTTTCCCTTCCCCGGCCGCTAGTATTGAACTTAACCGAATTGAGGCTAGTCTGTTTTGCAGACACCCTTCTTCTACAAGGACCACACTCTTTGTTTCCCTTGAAAATGGTTTCTCATTGAAACATGTACTAAAGGAACCTGCATACAAAGACCACTTTTTGTGTTTCCCTTGGGCGGTCGCTGTAGACAGGTTTGACTGTATAATGAAAGTATTATAGAAAGGGCGAGGCCAAAAACCGAGAACTAACTAGGAAGAGAACATAAAAATGAACCCTGTAACATACAAACCGATTTACTTTCAATCGTAAAAATCTATTATATATTTTGCTGTAAAAAATGTATCATACCATGCATGTATTGTATCTATCTGTAACATAATTAAACGCAAGTTGCTATTTTTGGTAAAGTAATGATTGATCGAAGGAGATACGATTAATGTGAAGGAGATAAATTGTAGGATTGATTTTAAGGAGAAACGATCGGGAGTAGAATAAAACTGCAAGAGTATACAATAGTTGCAAAGAACAGGGATATGTGAAAAATTTGTTGGAATTAAACCTCCGATAGAGAAGGAGATATAAATGGTGAGAAAGTAGTGGACAAAAAAGAAGAATCGGGCCTTTCGAATTTTTTGATAAAATCTGTATTCATAAAACAATCAATATACAGGTAATAAGCATGATCAAAACTGTGTGTGATTGTGATGCTAAGCAATAGAAATAATGATATCAAATTATTTTCGTGTCGATTCAAACAAAATATGTTCATAATCATTGAGGAAGAGTTGTATATAATAATTACGATAATCGTTCCAGCGAGTACTACACCACACCCTTATTACCTAGCTCATATTCCACATAATGTATAATACTGCATGGTACATGTGCAAGATTCGCTTCAACGAGAATATTTTAGCAACAAACTCAGATGCAGAGCTTATCGATTAGAGGTTCGTTAAAACTATCACGACGAAGAAAAGCCCTCCACCTCATCGAACGATGGTACATCTCTCAAAGCATAATAATTATATGCGAGAATATCTTTTAGATAGTTTAAAAGCAATAGCGAATTCATCGGAGAAAAACTGCAACTCTCTGGTTTGGTCACGTTTGAGTTATGAAATATTCAAGGTACATTATAGCTACTTAGTTCATATTTCAGAAAGGTAGTACGGGTTATATGTTTACGTGAATAGTATCATGATGTCATGTTGAACATGAATGTTGAAAAATGATTCGTCTCGCAGCTTGAGGTAAAGACAATATACAATATCGTTGTTTATTTGGATGAACTTACTTGAGAAGAAGGAAGCGAGGGAAGTACTATTTTGGAAACGTCGCGAGAGGAAAGAGAAAGGAAGGAGATGGGAGGGAGAAGGGGAAGGAATAAATTAAAGTAATTGAAACAGTAGTCGGGAGAGGCATTAAGATGAATAGATTATAGAGTTATATGTGTAAGCCCTAGACAACGATAACAAAGTGGAGAACATGGTGCGGGGGGGGGGGGGGTAGATGGTCAGGAAGGGGGTACAGGAGAGGGAAATTGTGAGTGCATGGGGTAGGAGGATGGAGAGAAATTTCAGAAAATGAGAAAACACGAGGCAGAGAGAGAGAGAGAGAGAGAGAGAGAGGGGGGGGGGGTAAGAGTGGGTGAAGAAAGGGAAATGTCGAATCAGAGGTAACTTTTCGATGAATATTAATTGAAATTTATCCGTTGAAGCTATACGTTCATCATGCTCATTATGGGAGGATGGATTAATGATAAAAAGGCAGAAAGTACATATTAAAACTGTAAAATGCATTCAATATAGGTGATACGTATAGAGAGAGAGTCCTCTGCTTGACATCATGCTTTGCGAAGAGAAGGCAATCGAACACCTTGACAATATCATATTTTTCGTTACTGCGGATGTATAAATCATTATTAATATCATTAAGTTGACGCACAGCTGCTAAACACTGTAGAACGCTTCCTGTTCCATAATCAGTATTGTAGTCTCTCTATCATCACTTTTCTAGTTATCCTAAAAATTGATGTCACCATTTCAAAAAAGGATTTACGACACTTACTCCTGCGTGTCAATCTCCTACACTAGCGGATTTCTATTTTTTTTAGATTCAACTCTATACAAAAAAACTATAACTAATTCTAAACCAAATTGAACCTGTAACCCAATAGGAAAAATACCCTAACCCACTGGGGCATCCAGACCTTTGCCTTAGGAGGGCAAAACATTTCAACTTAACTGATTCGTCATTAGTAAGGAGGGTTTCAATTACCGGGGGGGGCATCACCCACATTGACTTATTTTAGGAAGAAAAAGTAAGTCTTTTGATATTATATCTACACTTCATGCGTTTGTTGAGTTACAGTGATTCCTAGTTTTCTAATTACTAGTGAGATTTAATTTCGTTTTCTTGGTTGAAAATTTGTCAGTAGGGGCAAATCCCCCCCCCCCCCCCCCCCGCTCTGCCTCTCCTTTGCCCATCCTAAACCTTTGACGATATAAAGCCCGGAATAACTGTCTATGATGTAATTTCGTCGGTTCACCTTCACACACCTTCATTTAAATGTTTCTCTCTCATTTCTAATATTTCATCGCGCCATCGGTCATCTTTTATTAACAATTTATTAATGGCTGGGCCACAGAAAACAACGGAAACTATGATAGGATGTACACCTGCCTATTAAGGTTGTGCTATTGTGTGTTTCCATCGCTTGCCATCCGTCTATCTACCCCATATCGCTTGTAACAAAAGGAGTTGCAAATATGAAATCCAGGGAAAATGTATTCGACCTATTTCCAGGTCACCACGTTATACATCGTTTACTTGGAGACAGAAGGGCGTTAAAGCCCCTCTAAAGTGTTGGGAGCCCCAGAAATTTGATGGCAAAATTTAATTTACATTGTATCATAGTGTGAAAGAGGGTGTCATTTAACCCTTTTCTGCAAGGATTAAAAAAAAGGGTTTGAAAACGAATATTGATGAAGGAATACCAAATTTAGGTTTTTCTGCGTACAACAGAAAAACAAATGCACTAAACTGACAAGCCGTTTTAGTGGAAAATACGAGACAAAATTGAGCTTGAAATGGTTAATTTTGTTCTTGTAATAATTGTTGAAAGACTGGTTTGACATGACAGGGGGGCATTTTGTTTACAGATTTTTGTAAGCTATAAACAGCGTGGTCATGGGGTGTGGTACCCATCTCATTGTTTGTAACATCGCAAAGTGATTTTCTGTTTCAAAGGCATGACACAGTCTGAGAACAAGCTGGGTTCGATACAATTTCTGTATACCACGCAGACGATCAATGCGACGATCAATATCCGATACAGAAGGGGCATTATATCGGAATGAATCGCTCGATTAGCCTGAGGCGATAGATCCAAACATAGTCTACATACGAAACCCTGCTTTTGTTATTACTTTAAATCAAGATAAAATACAATACCATTATCGATTTACTTAAGAGGGGAACATAATAATTCAGTATGAATTGAAACGAAATTGATATAAAAAGCCCCATCTATGATGTCTCTTATCAAAGTGTTAAAATAAGCAGGTAGACTTTAATTTACTCTTCAAAGTTAGGACAAACATTCGAGTTTGAGAAAGAGAAGTCATTTCAAATCGAGAGCGTTGATAATTATAATGGCATACTTCTGCTGATGGAAATTATTGATCGACATTAGTCGATACAATGTCATTCTGAAGCAAATTAGTTTTTGGCATACCTTACTGGATGTTGATCAATTTCTTGATAAACTTTAAGAATATCATCGGGGGCTAGCATATCAGTTGAAAAAAGCAACTATTGAGAGTATCCCTATTTAGTATGTTGGCTTACAGTTGAGAATCCGGAATGGGGTGGAGCTGGCCCCCTCCCCCTCTCCCTTAAAAACGAAATATGAAGGGGAAAATACAATCCGCTATAATGGTTTTTAACATGTTATTTATCTAGAATACGGTCGGCTCTACTTACAAAAACACAACCCTAGGACTATTTCAATATCCTAGAGAAATTGTGTGTGTTTATATAATATAAAATAATAATTATATAGGTTATTTTAATGTTCACGCATTTCTAAAAGCGACGGACAAGGCCATTACAATTGTCTTAGGTTGATTTGTCGAAAGTAGTTGTACTCTCTAAATTTGAAAGTCTTATTTTTAAATCTTAAAGTCTTACTTTTAAATCTAACAGAGACTGATATTAGTGACGAACCCTTTGGGATTTAAAATAAGTCTAAGCTAAGACTTGAAATTTTAAGTCCCTGAAAAGGTTTAAAATTTAAGTCAATTGGATTTATATTTCAAGTCTTTTAATATTTATTTTAAACCTTTCTTGGATTCATTTCAAAAATAAATCTAAGCTAAGACTTAAAATTTTAAGTCCCTAAAAGATTTAAAGTTTAAGTCAATTGTATTTATATTTCAAGTCTTTTAGATTTACTGGTCTAGCTAAGCCATTAGAACCATTTGGTAAAACTTCCAACCAATTGAACGGCAACAACACTTCAATACTGGTACGTATGTATTATCAATGTAAAGGCATCGGTAATAAGTAGACTTATACATAATTTAATTAATCGAATTTTTTTTCATATACTTGTATTTTATTGAAATTATTTTAGTTCATAGTTAATGTTTCCCTTATTCATGTTTAATTAAATGGAATTCATACGAAGTAGCGAAATGTCCTAATAACTTGTAATTTATATTTGTAGTATTTTCGAAATGAATTGCATATACCTAAATCATCAGTAATTAAGAAATATGCTGTAAATTCAGAAAAATTGTTAAAAAAACATAGATCTGCACGCACCCCATATTCAATATGCAAATTAATTGGTGTCAGCTGGTTCAACTGGAAATATGCCAACAGTCAGTCATCAACAGGTGCAACTGGAAATATGCACATCTTATTGGCGAGAAGTTTAAGTCTTTCCAAGATTTATATCTAGAAGCTGGTTTCGATAAAACTTTTAGTCAAATTTCCAATTTATTAAGTCTTAAAGACTTGAAATATTTTAAGTCTCAAAATGGATTTAAAATTTAAGTCCTAGAAATTAAGAGAGTATACGTCACTTTTTGAAACGTGCGAACATTACGTCATCCGAACACATACGAAAAGGTTTTGAAATTGCCACTGAGTTGATTGGTACATGTAGTTTCGATCATGTTATTGATTAATTCCAAATTCCATTTAGACGTTTGAAACTTATATTTTGATGTGTTTGGTTACAGGTAGCAATCATGTTGCTGAACGAGGATGTGATGAAATCAGCGAGTGTTGGAAGCAAGAAAGGCTACTTCGCTACCTTCTTCATCCCGCCAGCAGAGGAGGATGAATGCGTCTTCCAAGACATCGTCAAGAACGAGAAGGAATGGCGTCCAGATACCTCCCTCAGTCACCACACAGCGACGTCATCATCGCGGTCGAACCGCGGCTCGAGGTCAGCGAGAGGACGGGCAGGTCAACGCGTGAGAGGAGGCTTGCGAGGTAAGAGTGCGACGAGGAGCATCGATTTGGAGCTCGATGACGCTGATCCTGAGAGAGATCGGAATCGAGTGAGTACGGCGAGGAGTTCGAAGTCGGTGTTGTCCTGGGGTGGTTACTCCGAATCAACACCACCGCCTCCACCCTCTAGATCAGCCATGAGGAATCCTACGGGTGATGGAAGACGTTCGATCAGTAGAGGTCAATCGACCAAGTTTGCCTTCGACCAGGGAAAAGCTTTCGCTACTCCTATAGAAAGGACAAAGAAGACTTGCGAAGTGATTCAAGATGCGAATCGCGGCAGTGGTGGCGATTCTAAAGAACGAACATGTAGACCGTACAGCAGCTACACGGTGTACCAGAAGCGAGAGAACATTGCCATAAGCCCCTATGGAGAGCCGAACTTAAAGGGAGCTGCAGGAAGGTACCGAGAGCAGTATCAAACCCTTACCAACTCGGTGCCACCGCCGAACGACACTTCAAAGGAATCCAGAGACTATGTCTTCAAGAAGTTCTTTGAGAACCTGACAGCGCGCTCCAGTCTTGCTTGCCGCTCTCCCATCGGAACACTGAAGAAGCCGCCTCCGAAGCCTGTCCGAAAGCCGAGTGCGAAGCTGAACTCAATGATTGATCATCTGCACAAACAGGCCAAAGCCAGGATGACAAGTGTCCAGAAAGATCTACCAAGTGATGGCAAATCGGAACGCAGAAATCATGGTGTCGAATACGTCATAGCGATGGAGTTGTCTCACAACCTTGAGAAGCATCGTATGAAGCGATCATACAGTTTCCCTAGCCTGCCAACTGTCGCGGTAGCCGCAAACACAACGATGCGGTTAGACGCACCGCGATTGAGAACTCAATCAGTAATCCACCTCACACCCGGTGAAACATCCATCCGAGGTGGAATCGAGACAAATGAGTTTGACTCAGAACGGAGCAAACGCGGACCAATCGCATGCATTGAGCGTAAACCGCGTGTGCGGTCACCACCGCTTTCTAAACTCTCACGTGACCGCTTCTTACCTGAGGCGATCAAACGTCGCGAGGCTGAACGTCAGGAGAGTCTTGCAGGGCTACGCATTACCGCTAACACGCCGGTCACGGATTGGAAGACGGAATCAGACCGGCGACCGAAGTCATCCTTGACGGCGACGACGAAGATGCAACTCGACTCTCTGGCGTCAAAATCGTTTGAAAACGTAAATGACATCGACGACGAGCGAGTGGACGACGTTGGAGATGAATTTGATGATGAAAACCTCGATGATGATGATTGCGCTGTCGAAGAATTGTATAATGATGACGAGCATGAGCAAGAGTCAGGTGACGAAAATACTCAGGAACCTTCCTTTGGAAGCGATGCTGATAACAATGTTGAGGAAGATAAAGATGAACATGCTGAAAGTGAAAATGACGCCCAAAACCCTACCAATAACGAATCCGAAGTAAACCCTTCACATTCCACTGATGTGGGTGAAAACCTCACCGAGGATAAAGAGGATCTGGGAATTGTCTCACAATCCCTTGAGACGGAACACCATTTGAATAACGTCACATCTGAAGTCACCAATGAAGAGGGAGAAGAAGATAAACTTGGAATTGCAAGAACCAGCAATGAACAGTTTCCAGTTAAAGAAGATGAAACTGATAATTCGTAGAAATTAATTACTATTTCTCTTTGGAATTGCACCTAAATCATTATCATTAAAGAGTTATCAGTGTCAGTCAATATCAAAATGATTATTATATCTTTTGATGAAATAGCATACCAATATGTCCACAAGCACTTATCCTATCGTTGACTAAAATTGGCAATTAAATAGTTAAGAAGGTAAATCGTTAAGAAGGTAAATCGTTGTATGAAATTTGTTAATCTTGATTTTGAATTGATTGATTTTTCTCATTATTGTTCTTATCATTCTCATTTCTCTCTCTTCCCCCTCTTTTTTCACTTTCTCCTTCCTCCTCCTTCTCCTCTGTCTCATCCTTTCTCTTCCTCTTTCTTCTTACTCTTATTTCTTTGTCTTCACCATCTTCTCTATTTATTGTACTCCAGACAATTCAATGTCACCAAGTGTGGGACGGGGTTCTTATTCGTCCTCTTTAACCTTACCAGTATTGTTTTCCCTTTCTATTACATTTCATTCATTTCTTATTAGCCCCGTTATGATGATTGAATCGATATAGGGACGAAGATATTTAGCTTCTGATTTGTTCTGACTGTTTAATATTTCCTATGAATATTTCATATTGGTGTCAATCCTTGATTGTGATCCTGTAAATGTTCTTGGATGATTATATCTATCAAGATATTTCCAGAGTTATCGGAGAAAAGTGCAATTTTAGGTGATATGAGCGATGTATATTTCTGAAGGAAAATCAGAAAGATAATAACTATGAATTAATTCTTATTGTAGAGTTTAAAGACCTGTCATAATCACTAGAATAATTAGTTCATGATAGGTTCCACAGGCATGTAACCATGGTGACGCGAATGACAATCAGAATAGGAGTTATGTTTGTAAAATTATTGTTTTTAACTCACTTCGCATTCCATATTGTAAATTTGTTTTCGTATCGATTCGTTAAAATAACTTTGTTTCTTTGATATGTAACGAAGTCTTGTAAATCTTTGTTTTATTATAATGAATTTCAAAAATAGATTACAGCACAGGGGAAAAGGAGAAGAAACTTTGATCACATAAAATTAGGACTAGGAATGGTGGATAAAAGAGAAAACCTTGCGTTGATAAGCCTACATTGATAGTACGGCAAAGATAGATTAAATTATGTAGGAGGTAGATTGGAAAGAAATGGAGAGAGAGAGAGAGAGAGAGAGATAGACCTAGAACGATATATAGAGAAAGAGAAAGAAAGGGACAGAGAGAAAGATTATATAGGGAAAGAGAGACAGATAGAGAGAGAGAGAGAGATAGACCTAGAGCGATATATAGAGAAAGAGAAAGAAAGGGAGAGAGAGAAAGATTATATAGGGAAAGAGAGACAGATAGAGAGAGAGAGAGAGACAGATAAATAGAGAAAAGGAAAGAGTTTTTTTAGGGGGGGGGGTTAAGACTGAATTGTCAAGGTAGAGGTAGATATTAGAAAGAAAAAAGGAAGAGAACGAAGGAGAAGGAAAGAAAATGGGGAAGATTATCATCATCACCACTACCATCATCATCATTATTACCACCATCACCATCTTCAGTATACCACAGCCATCATCATCACCACTACCATCACTCATCATCACCATCATCATCTTCAGTATACCACAGCCATCATCATTACCACTATCATCATCGTCATCTTCCTCCTCATCATCATCACCATTCTCATCAATAATATCACTTCTTCCAATCACACTGATGTTATCATCCCTGTGTTACCCCAATCCAACATCAGACTCAAGAGACGTGCTTTCCAACCATCTGAGTACATCGTAGAACACAATACACATTAGAAATAAGGTTTCGGGTGCAAAATTTTGCAGGTCATTATTTAATTTTTATTCATTTTTTTCTCTTCCTTTAATCATATCACAGCACAAATAAAAATTTCTCTGTGCCAATGTATAATCCACACACAGTTCTTCATCGGAGTATCAACCCATTTTGCTGCTACCCGCTGTCCATCTGGCAGTGTTACATGTAAATGACGGCCAGTAGCATTACCATCTGCTGGAGCTCAGCGAAAAACGGTCAATACACCAACATCCAAATTCTCCCTTTCCTCCTTGACAACAGAACACACCAATTATCTATTTTTCTTTAAAATCTCACAGAGTAACGAGGGTGGTTTGGACTCAAAAATATTCAATAAATTACAGATAAAAACAGTGAACTCCTATATCTACAAAAGAAAAACTGAAAAAGACTTCAGCTCCAGCACAAACATTCCAAAAAGAGTGAAACGTGACTATAATGCACTACAACGTTCACCTAGTACACTAAAGTATTATAAATAATAACCACGTAACATACGGCATCACAAAGTATCCATGGCAACATAGTTGGGTCTAAGTACGTGGTCCGGGGTTTGTAAACTATCTATGGCACATAGGGAGGAGAGGGTCGTTTACAATGGACGGTGCAACATTCAAGTTGATTATAAATAACATGGTTTTACCCGATACATATTCACATACATGGGACTATTGAGAAATCTATGCATCTCTTTGCATTGGGTTCTACAGCCTGTTAATCCTGATTAGCGCAGGCTATGACTGCTTATCTGTCAGTGAAAACAGGGTCACATTGGAGTACACAATTTGGGTTTAGACTACTAGGCAGGTTTACATGCACCATAAATAACATTTCTTCACTTTCAAATACATTAACTAACAGTAGTCCAAAATGCAGATTGATAACACTATGCAAGCATATAAAGTACATGTACATACACACTTTTATCTAAACAAGATATATCTTTCTTTTTCAGTACTGACAATTGACTTCTATACACCACCGAAGTAACTTTTGACGGACATTAAATGACGACCACCCAACGTTTTTTATTGCATTTCGTTTTTTCAAATAAAAATCTTTACAAAATAACATAATTCCAAACTTTCACAGCAGGAAAAGGGGTATATGGGACTGGGGACAAACATGAGACTGGGTTTTACTTTCAAATAAATAACTAAAAACTGCAAGAGGAAAGAGGTTACCATAGCTAGACACTTATGGTACTTTAAAAACGATAAAATGTACATGTTTAAAGTTTCCATTTAACTCAGCCATATAAAAGCTCTGAAGATCATCTTTAACATGTTAACATACAAACACTTCTTATTGACGATTAACGATTGCATATCATTTTTTAAGCAAAAATTTTGGCATTTTGGCGAAATTGAATACATGGCAAAATAGTATTTTACGTGACGATTAACAGGGTTATATCCTAACCTAATTTGGATTCATACCACAAAAAAGCCGACTTAGCTTTGTTAAAAAGAAAGGATTCCATTTATCCTACCCTAGCCTAATGGTCCTTATAGAGTTAGCCTTCTCTCAAGTAGTCCAATAGTTGACAGCTGCAGATTGCACTGTACTCAATGTGGAATCAAAATGCCACAAAATACACATAACGGCTGGCCTCGAGACTAGGCCTGATACCAGTATTACAGACTGTCCTATAGCATTGCATACCTTCACAATGATGATGTGTAATCATATTTCACATCAGCTAGCGTTACCTATAAGTATACACAGGACATACAGGCTCCGGTCAACAGATAACGGCAACTTGGCAACATTACACATACATGTATGGTTAAGGAACATTAACTGACAGGACACCCAAAGATTAATGGACCCTTAGCCCCGTAGAAAAAGTTTTTCAAACATACCAAAAGTTTGAAAAGAAAAGGAAAAAGCACAGGGTTCAAACTAAGATTTCAAAGGGTAAAAATACTAAATAATTGAATATCAGTAGATGCAATGGGAGAATGGATGCTTGTTAAATAACATTTTTTTTCTTCATTAAATTAGTTAATATCAGATGTTATCTCGAAGGGTAAGAGTACTTCGCATAATCTGTAAACAGATCCAGTAACATTTTCTATTCCTAGCATAGTAAATACATGATTGTGCTTGATATGACTGACTTACCCTAATGCTAACCCTATTCACATCAAATCAACTGTGAAACAATGGGGCTCTGGTCTGAATACCGTATATGTGGATTGTGGACTGCTCCTTGATCAGACCATCTGGAAACAGAGGTCACTCTTCTATTAGTTCCAATTCTGACAATTTCATGCTCTCTTTCTTTGGTCAACAATAATTCAGTTCTTCTCCTCATAATGCCCTAGTCCTCCAGGTCAAGAGTAGCATCATCCAGACCCTCTCTCTGCAGGAATAACTCGAGAGAGTTCACCTGTTTTCAGTGGTCACTTTGTTTTCTTTGAGTGGCCTTAGTAAACAGGTTTGATTGTACTACACTAGTTTCTCTAGATCCTCATATCTCCACATCTCCAAGGTCTTAGGAAGTTAACAAATGAATTGTCTTATCTGTCATAAGAGATACAACCCACAAGTAGATGTGTCATTTAAAAACAAAGAAATAAGATCATTATTTGCAGCTGGACCCTACTTTAATTTCAAGGGTAGAAATTAATAAACAAGGTTGAGACTGTACATGACATAAGAAAATCAGTGTTTGCAGCTTGAGATACCGGTAAGTAAGAAAGGACTTGCATCCTTTTAGCGTTAAAGAGAAAGAAAGTTACATAAAGGCAAGGTACATACATACATACATACAGACAAACATTGCAGCCAATCGCACACTCCATAGACATAGGGGAAACAAGAAAAGATACAAGGACACAGTTTTACATGACATAACTAAGCTAGCCTTTAATAATACCACAAAAACACAAACAAGGGTAGAACAAGAGAGCGATTCAACAACATTTCTCATTTTCTTTTCCAGATACAAAAAGCGGGGTAAAGAATGAACGATCGAAGCCGACAGAATAACGAACAGAGAAATAATAAGAGAAAAGAATTACATCTTTACAACATAGATCATAGTGGGGGGAACAGATACGAAATCCTGTTCTTTTTAAAGTATCATACTTACAAGGAGCTCAGATAATGGAACTATAATCTTTCTTAGTCAAAATCACATTTTAGACAAAATTCTGACTGCGTATGAAAAAGGAAAGTAATCTGATTGGAATATTTATGTTACTCAAACCAAGAAACAAACGGCTGTGATACAATCATGTTACTGTCAAATATTAACGACGGGAAAAGAGTTTACATTATATTACATGAAATATCGAACTACTTTGGATGGACATAGTTATCCTATTTCTCTTTTCTGGAATGGTTTTGGTATGTTCTTTTTTCTTCTCCTCTTTTGTAGAGCTATTCAACAAAGATTTTACGAAGACTGAATGACTTCATTTCACATGAAAACGTTTCATCAAAAACATAGCCTCCATACAGAAACTGAGTGATGCTTTAGGGCGACATGAGAAGCAATAATACTCCCCCCCCCCCCCCAAATCAACTTGGTTGGCAACTGATTTTCCTTCTAAAACAATTTTGAACAGATTGTGAGAAAATCTATCGCTGGTGCATTATCAATGATTTAATTTACACAGATGGAACTTCTATGAATCATTTTGAAGGGATTGATTTATTTATTTGCAAGGGCACAACAGTATTCTCCATTGATTCTCGATATAGAAGATAAATTTTGTTCCGATTCATTGCTTTCCTGAATTATCAACTAAATATAATGAACTAAAAGTAGCAAAAATAAAAGGAGTGAAAAAAGCAGGTTCTTTTTATAGAAGAAACAAACTTGGGGCGAAACATGCTTGTAAGAAGGATATTTCACTATATCACAGGCACCCAGTATAAGAGTGAATGTTAAACATAGGGGTAAGATCGGATCGGATGAGAAGAGAAAAACAAAAGAAGAACGAGGAAAGAAATTGCTTTCTGTCACAGCTAACATGTACAATCAAACATGATTAAAAAGAAATAACATGACAATCGTTTTCTTGCTTTCAAATCTACAACATGTACAATAAAACTTCAACAAACATTTCCCCTTTCTGCACCTCACACTTAATGATACAAGGGGGAGAACAAACTTAATTACAACAAGCTGAAGGAACAACATGGAAAATAAAACAACAACAAGTCATGACATAAAACCCTTAACCCAACAATACTTTTAAAATATGAATGAATACACAATTGATGAATGATGCAACATTAATGCACTAAGAATACTACAACTTTTATACAATGTACAACACACAAGTAAAACCAACAGGTCAACAACAGGTCATTTCTCGGGTCAAATAATCAAAGGTCAAATAACACCAACATAGAACGAAGTAAGGGTGGGCTACGGTTTAACATTAGCAAACGATTCAATGTTAAGTTTCACATTTATTCAACGACTTTCCTTTGAAAACAAGGAAAACGGGAAACAAAACAAACATACTTCCTGGGAGTCCAGGTTGAGCCAGCATTAGACAACGTGACACAACGTGACACAACGTGACACAACGCGTAACATGCTTTTTAACGGTAAAAATTGCACTTCATGGGCGTCTTGTTATAATCTTTCTCTGTCATCTCCATGGAGATTACATAATATGATATATTAGTCGATTAAAATCAAACATGTCTCAATTGCATAGGTTTCTTTTCCCCCTCTTTCATTGGCTACACAACAGTAATATCGTTTTAAAATACAAGATTGCCAATGAACTCAACTACCAACATCAAAATAAAATAAAAATGATTTTGGTTTCAATGATTCCAACACCACATCAAAAACATGTCAGTATCCATGGAAACGAAACTTGTTTGTGACAATTCTGCAGAGAACTATCATGAAAACTAGTTTGTAAAAGGTAGAAACAATGAAGATTCATTTTTTGTAGTTTCCTTTAATAATAAAAATAAAAGTAGGTATGCATTTTGGCTTTAAAATTTGGTTTAAAAAAAAACATTTTCTTTATATTTGCTGTTTGTCACCAAATCTGAATTGATCGAAATTTGTATCCTTGTCATCTGGACTACATTAGACCTGGAGTTCAAATTAAAATCTAATCACAAATTAAATCAAGGACATCACGTCATAAAACTTAACATCAATTGATGCTCATAGTACTTTATCTCTCCAGATCAAAATGATATCAAAGTCCATTTCGGAGTAATTAAATCCAAATCAATTTCTTAAGAACTTTCGATGAACCGACTGGTTTTTGGTTGAAGCAGGCAGTATCAGGGATACCAGTTGGTTTCAGCCGATGAGTCTGAAAAGCAACTGTCGTGTTCGACTCCCACAGAAGCCTAAAAAAGTCTGAGATGGGGAGGTATCGGCGTCTGAAAACTGGCATCCCTGGCAGTAAGTACAACAGTCTGATTTTGAACGCTATCAAATCCTCATTTGAATTCAATGCTGAATATTGTATGCATAATAATGTACCATTAATCTTTATAACACTTATACCACAAAAACATTAAACTAACAATCTCTTTAACAGTCACAGAATATAATTGAATACAGTGAAATCACATAATACTTCTTCTTTAAAGTTAGATTTATCTCAAAACATAGACTCTACACTTATATAGTCTTTTTTAATAAACAACAAATGTTTGCATCCTTTTTTGTCATAAAACTCTGTACACGAAACGATATGACAGCAAATAATCTACATTCACGCACAACAGATGGTTTACAACGTCTTTAAGAAACAAAGATATTATACTGGCATTCGTGTCCTGCTCATTCTACGAAAACAAAATGTGGATTTTGCTTTTCTTATGTCACTTAGCAGATAACTTTCAGGCAACTTTTTGATTGGATATATGACTTGAGTGACCTCCTGTCAACTAGTCCCATATGAAGCGTCATAGTTTCATTCTGAGACCTATTGCAATGCCCCAATCATGATTCCCATTGATATTGTCATGGGTACAAGACTTATATTCTATATGAAAATGGTACATTTTTGTCATTTTGGTATTATGAATGGTGGGGAATCATTTCATTACTGTCGGTGAATACATACTGCTTCTAATCTTAGATATGATAATAAATTCAAATCAAAATCTAACTGAATGCTTGTAAAAGTGCCCTCATTAAACAAGTGAGTTTGACTAACCTATTACTGTGTCTTCCTCTAAAAACCTGTCCTAATATTAAAAAAAGAGCGTAATTTGTCCAATTTTTATGAAAGTGAATGGTGCAAACTATACAACCCTGTATTATTGCAGTGATTCTCGGCTGTAATGCATTCATATATCCAATCATTATCTATTCTCTATTCTTGAATTAAAATTGGTGAGAAATTAAAAAATAAAAATCAGTTGATAAAATTCAAATCTTGTGCAAAGCACCAAAACACAATCATCAAAATCACACAAAAATTGAATTCTTTGAGCTATGAATCACTTATGAACTCCAGAGTGAATCTTGAATACATATAAATAGTACTTGCCTGGCAATAGATATTATCTTGGGTACAATTATGGCAGCAAATTGTTGACATTAGGAAAATAAAGAGCAAACAATATCTTTCCATCATTTACAATTTTCTGATTACAATTTATTGGCCGAATGATGGCAGCCTGTGTCCAAATTTTGTTTGATTAATATTCAAATAAAACAGTAGGATTTTTGCCTGGTTTGGATAAAACTATACCTTTTCTTGGTTAGATAACATGTTCTTTGTATTCGTTTACCCTCTTTAACAAAAATGTGAATCACATTACAAATACATATCATTTAGGATGAATCCTTCACAAATTCTAACACAGTAAGTTCACTCAATATGCAGAGGGGATGTGAAGATGACTGAAGAGCAATACATAAGGCCCAATAGCTAGTACATGATGGAGATAGCGCCCTCTCTTGTTGACGCATTTCTAATACAGTTTCTGGGTAAAATTTCATGGTGTTATAAACTGGAGAAAGCTATGAGTAGTATCCATTGTATGGAGAGGCAATATAGCTCTTACAACAGAGCACTATACAGTGCATTATAAATGACTCTTTTGTATATAATGCTTCAACACTCGGTATACCTGTCCTTAGGGGAGTATGTAAAGCTGTAGATCTTCAAGTATTTGTTAACAAGCACCCACTTGGTAATCTTGGTAAGATATACACAAAGATTGACCAAAATAGTGAATTTGAATTGTAATATCTCTTTTGGGGGTCATATGTGGTCAAGTGTGTTTATCCTTGACAATGGCTATGACAGGACTTTGGTCCCTGGTTTTGATCCACCAACCTGCAAGTATTGTGTTGCAGACTAAGGATAGTGAGAAGAAAAAAATGCTGAACAAATTACCATATATTTTCCTTACTACCCCATTCATTGAATAGTTGAGAAATTACTTCTTGATTCTCCATGGCAACGGTTTATTTGATTACTGGATCATGTAAACATCACCTTGGGGAATGCTACCATTATTAGGTACAGTCATCTACATTTACACTGCATATTGAGTAAAGTAACATTTAATGGGGGTAACATTACATAATATCTCTTGTTTATTCTGCAAATTTAACACGGCAACAATTAAACTAGAAATTCAACACACTGCAAATACCATACTACAAGATGTCTGGATTGAGGAAAGTATTAAAAAGAATAACAATAAATAATCTTTAAAAAATCACTGAAAAAAAAACCTACACACTTTATGGCAATAATCTTTTGAACACCAATAATAAAACACACACAAAAACGCACTTTATTCAAACACTCTGTGTACCTTCTAAAAGGAGATACACGCTTATTCTTTTTAAAACTTGAAACTGGTATAATTATAAATAAATAATGATTTAAAACATACAAGAACTTTCATCACTTTTGCACACCCTGTTTTCAACAAACTTAATATCAACGTAAATGAGACCGCATAGTTTTATCACGCTGGGGAAATTCACATCAAACGATTATGATAATCATGATAAAATTGCTATTTTTTCAAACATTCAACTCCAAAAAAAACACACAGGCTTGTTTTTGTTTCCGATTGGAAAATCATGTCACAAATATATGAATGAACTACGAGAAAATGACTCGTGTACCCCTTAAAGGGACACGCAAGGAAAATGAATATAGAAATCATAACATTCCATGCTTTTGCACATTAAACTTGTAAACAAACAATACTACTAAACTGATGGCATCAATGAGGTCCTATCCAGTTTCCACTGAAGGTACTGTAGTCTCAGATTCAGACCCAATAAAATCTAACACACACGCACAAGCAAAAGTTACGCAAAAATGGTCAACTACGATCATGAAAATACTACAGATGTCGGTTAATCACCCATCTAGCTAAAGCCTCCCTGATTTTCTTTGTAATGAAGCATGTCTGCTTTTCTCTCGTTACCAAACCTGGTTTTTAGCTTGATGATAGACGGATTAATACAACGATTGATTGACGTTATGAGACGTTAACATGTTAAGAAAGCATTTACTTTATATACGGTCCAATGTGATGGGGTAAAATTGACAATGCGCAAGGCATACACCACATTTGAAATTCCAAATGCATAATAGATGTATTGTTTCTTAGGTTTTTTGTCTGCTTAGGACAAGACGACTTTGTGACAGACAAACAGACGATAGTTCGTTGAACTAGTCACATGATAAAATAGCAAACCGGTATGGTTTCCAGGGGCAACGAGCAAACGTTTACAGGCAGACGTCACATGACTTGGACAGAAGTATCGAGCGTTCTGATTGGTGGAAAAATAAAAGAGAAAGAAAAAAACAGAGACGGAAGAGAAAGCGGGGTTAGACAGTGGTACATTAACGTAGCAAAAAGTAAACACAAAGCCAAGATTATTTGAATGTCTATGATGTCAGAGGTCATGAGAGATTATAGGGTGAGACCCAAATGAGAACAAAAATGACATTAAAAGCAGTGATTACAACTGAAACGGAATGAAAACATATCTAAGAATAAATATGTAATAAAGGAAAAAACAGTGGCTGGTATTGTGGTGTGGTCTGTCCCTTACATGCCTTTTTCGAGACATAAACAAAACAGGCTAGATGCAACATGTCTATTATCCTGTGTGAGGTTTTTTTTTTTTTAATATTCTACATTCTGTGGAAAAATGTTTGAACAATTTGCAGATGTACACAAATATATTAAAAATTGTAATATTAATAAGAAAATTACAACATTGATATGTTATGATCTACGGAGGTTTCAGTATGGACAGCAAGAGTCATGGAAAACAAATTAACACACATTGTGCCATCGCACATATTACAACAAGGAAATTATGTTTTATGGTCTCCCTATTAAACCCCCCTTCCCCCCCCCCCAAAAGACCCCCTCAAAAAATTTTCACAATTGAATATAAATCATGATATCATTGTTGAGCTGAAATTTGTTGGTTGGTTATTGTTGTCCACTTCATTTCCGTTGAGTATAATTCCATTGATAAAGTAAATGAAAGCCAACTACATAGCGCTAGATTTAACATAAATCAAAGTGGAAATTAATGTAAAGACGTCTACCCTCTGACTTCAACCTTTCACCACATGGAATATAATAAGCACATTTTGTGTTTAGACATGTAACACAAGAATAAAAATGACAAACATGGTATCTACGCCAGCCACAGCACACCAAAACGGACTAAAAGCAGATGATAAAAGCTACACGAAGACAAACAAATGATAGAAACAATATATATTGAGATTTAAAAACAACAACCTGACATAACATGGAGAGGAGGGGGGGGGGTGGGGATTGGACATCTGTATCCTTTACATGCCCTCTCCCATCTAAATTAACGTCACCCCTCCCCCCCCCCCCCACAAAAAAGGGGGGGGGGGAGGAGGGGGAAGGGAAGTACATGTATATAACGTCTGGTGCTTCATAATTCCTCATTCATAATCTGTTAGTTATATATTCCTTTTTCATTATTCATTAATAATTCAATCCTCATTCAGTAGGAAAAAAATTACCAGTTATCGTTTCTCTTCGTTAATTCAATAAATCAAATTAATTCCACATGAGCGCTATAGTAAATCGGTTCATTCACTCTGTTTCTGTTGTGGGACCAGGGTTAAAATCTATGCATTGTGTAAAATAGATATCTAACAGGATTTAAGTCTTGAAAATGCACTGAGCTACTAAAGGCCAGTTATTATCAGTAATAATGCCTCCAGCAGCACTTTCGGAGGGTGGAAGCATACAAATCTTTTGAATTGCATAGAAGATTGTGGAAGTTCTGTACAAGACAAAGATATTGATAATAAATAAGCTTTCCCATCTTGCTAATATAATAATAATATTAGTGGGTTCTTGTATAGCGCTCATTTCTGTCTGACTTAACAGAGAGGGGAACATAAAAGTACCCATAACACAGCAAAACAATTAAGACTTCACACACACTGACACAGACTTCAACATGTGGGGCAGGGAAGGGCTACTTTACATCATAAGACTTCAATCTTTCATGCAGATTTCATGTTTTTCAAATCTCAGACACGACACATCTAAAGCTTGACTGACATTTGGAACTAGTACTGTAGCTCTTCTCAATGAAGCATTAAATAATTTTAACCACTTCGAATATCTGAAACCAATCAGTGTGAAAATATGCCTAGATTTAATTTAATTAAACTCTTTGGCAATTCCAGTAATGTTCTAGAAAATATGGTAACCTTAAGCTGCAGAAAATGTACAAACTTCACCTACCTATAAGTAAACAATTATTCAAAATTTAAAGAATGTTGTACCAATAATATTTTTAAATAAAAACAACAACTTCAATTTATTGTTCTACCTATTTTTTTTTATAAATGAAAGCAACAAAGTATTTCTTTAGACAACTGACATGATACAGCATTCATTCATGAACATATCAACCAGATTCATACTTGCTTGTATCTATCTTATTTAAGAGAAACATATAAAATGTAAATAAATACACCAAACATAAAGCTCTTTGAAGACGAGTCTACAATAAGTTTAGGGAAATAACAGGTATCTTTCATTTTTCGGGGAGGAGGGGGAGGAGCAAATACTAAAACAGCAGGACAACTATTAAATACTTCACATTTCAATTTGTTTCCATGCCATTAAATGTATATCAATTGCTCACAGACCTAAATCAGTAGATTTTCACATTATTTGTGTTGTGTTTCTAAATGTATGCATTAACGTATTACAAGTGGATTGTATGTAATGAGTTCCAGTGATGATTGCTGGAACAAATACCGTCGGAGCAAACATCATCAGAGCTAATGACGTACTAGGGTTAGAAGTTAACGCACTACATAGATAGGAATCTTTCATGCCGTTTACACTCTTTCATGCTCTTTACACTCTGGTTTTGCGTATATCAAGCATCTCAAATAAGCAGGGATATGGTGCAAAAAGTTCAAGTAAACACCGATACTGTGATGCCGTAGTTACGTGTACAAATTCAAAACAATATATGTTGTCCTTAAAAAATAGTCTTACACATATTTGCAACATTGATGGAATTCATTTGCTAAATATAGGCACAGAGACTTACATTTTTCACTTTTCCCCAAACAGTGATTCTTATGAACTCCTCATGTTGTCCTTTTTCTTTAGTTAGAAAGTTTGTAGCATTAAATCAATCAAAATGTGCAATATCTGTGATTGGTTTCAAAGACATAATTCAAACCCATGCTATTGGTCAAGTGTAAGACTACTTTTTATGGAAACACAAACTAAAACTATGACTTAACTTTTTAAAGCAAAACACTGCACAAAATACTACACATAAAAATACTTTAAACAGCTAACAAAACAGTTACATTAGCTTTACTTTTCAATAAATTGGTACATCTCTACAAAGGTAGTAAAGAGATACAGATTTTCAAACTCTAGAATACTGGTGTGGTGTTTTCAAGGACCAATGCAAAACAACCAATCAGTGGGCAGCAAGGCCCCATTGCATCAAGACAACAGAGATGCCATCAAACTGAGCCTTTAGCTTCACCCAATCAGGATCAAGTATTCAGCTATGATGGATTTTGATTGGCTGATGCTGCAGGAAATCTGCATTCAATAACTTCATTCAATACACAAAGCATGAAGAACCTTCCCTGAGTCCTGCTTTGGTATTCCCTGATTGGTCTATTAGCAGAAGAGACTTGGGATCTGAATCGATCACAAGACTTTCAACCAATCGCAGTTACCATCACCTATTTATGCTAGGAGTTGCAATTAATTTGGACTGACTACGTTCCTCTATTAAAAGGACTTTGTCTCTTTCCATTTAGTAATTCTAACAAAATCTGTTTTAAAATACTGCAGGATATTCTCTCTCCTCTCACACAACTGATGATTCAACGTCTAGAAGCAAACATTCAAGAAGCTAACACTCAAGGTTAAAACTTCATTCTCTCTGTAAGATGCATGCAAGAGAAACAAAACTCATGTTCTTTTATTGGTTGTGAAACCAACCCATCTCCCCTCCACCCCTTCACCCTAGCCACCCAGTTTACATGTAAAGTACTCACCTTTAGTACGGTTTGTTTGCCTCTTTAGAGCGCTTGAGCTGGACTTTTAATCTCTTTGTGCCGACTGAGAAACCGTTCATGGCCTGGATGGCTGCCTGTGCTGACATGGGTTGATCATAACTCACAAAACCTGATAAAAAAGAGATTTAAAAAATATGATTTAAAAAAAATATATTTGAAGCTGAGCAATTGACAAGAACGTAGAAATAAGAGTACTCTATACACTCAAATGGTCTGGAGTAATTGATTAACAGTAAGTAAATTAACACTGATACGTGTACAACCATACAAATAGAGAAAGAGATATGTGGAGGGATGATGGGGGAGATTTTTTTGTGTGGGGGGGGGGGGGGGGGGGGGGGGCTGATAGCATCAAATATTGATATATGATCCTTTTTCTGAGTATGATGTTCTATGCACTTTTCTGCCTGTATTTGTTGTTTTGCTGCTATTTATAAAAATGAAGTTATAGAGAGAGAAAGAGAAGAGAGAGAGAGAGAGAAGAGAGAGAGAGAGAGAGAGATAGAGAGAAAGAAAGAGAAATAGATAGAGAGAAGAAAGAGAAAGAGATAGAGAGAGGAAAGAGAAAGAGATGAAGAGTGAAAGAGAAGAGAGAGAAGAGAGAGAGGAGAGAGAGGAGAGAGAGAGAGAGAGGAGAGAGAGGAGAGAGCGAAGAGAGAAAACAGACAGAGAGAGAAAGAGAGAGGGGCACAATATACTTACCGAAACATTTGCTGAGGTTAGTGTTTTTGTCGATGAAGACTTTTGCACTGAGGATTCCACCGTAGGGTGAGAACATAGAGATGAGATCAGTGTCCGTGTAATCTTGGGGTAGGTGGTATATAAACAGATTGGCGCCCTCTGGACCTACAAATAAAACACGTTTATACAGGGTTAAATGAAACGTCTAGAACCGATTCCACACTATATTATAATAATAATAGCTAGTTCTTATATAGCGCTTTTCAGATATATGTATATTATGACCCCGGTCATCGGATTCAGGCTTACCCGCACACAATGTATGCATTCTCCACTCCTTGGGGAGCATTCCAGCCATCCACAAGATAGGGCTGGAGTCAATGGATAATATGGACAACTATTTGTTACATCTAAATAAAATCATATCGAGCAGCTTAGTGTGACGTAAATCTCAGAATTTAAAACGGTAAACCTTAAAAATATCAACTTCATCAGATAGTAATCAAGAGGGAACTAGACATTCGCCACATAAATAGGTGTGTGGAATAAACTAAATCGAAATGCAGACAGCATTTTCTAGAATAGTAGTATACTTCATCACTGGAGGACTTGGTTAATTACCCCTCCCCCCTCAAATCATGTCAACAGCATCCCATACCCCACCCCCAATGAAATCATGATATCGGCCTCCTATATTACCTTTACCTTCTTTTTGCTTTTGGCCCGCTATTCCTGCCTGTTGCTGTTGCTGTTGTTGTTGGAAAGCGTTGATTGGACCAAAACCGTTGGGAAATTGCGCTGTAAAGGAGAGAATCGTTACATAACAAAGTTGACGTGAAACTCAACAAACCTTGCTCTTTCAAAAAGGTGTCATATTATTTTGAACTCTCCTAGGCCTTCTGGCACAAACATTAGGGACTTTTAGATTTGCACGTCGACATAGTGGACTGCTACATGTGACGTCCTTATAAGGCGCTGGCAGTGCCTTAAAAGGACATCACAGTGCCTTATAAGGACGCCACACGTAGCAGTCCACTATGTCGACACGCAAATCTAAAAGTCCCTAGTTGATTTTAAGCAAAACTCCCTGGACTTCCCCTGCAACTAGTTGCTTCTTATTGCTTTTCTTATATCCCATTTACTTTTCCTGATGCAATTTGTTTCAATTTGTTTCAAATTGTTATTACTGAAGGTAGAGATTTCTAGGCTCACAAAGGCAACCATTTAAATGAACCTTGTATGTTATATGTGATGACTACCTCTACCACTACATTAAATGTTATTTGCAGTTACAGTTGTATCATTGCTTAGTAATAACCCATTAAAATGCATACCACGTGTGTAAAATGATCCCTTCAACAACAAAATTCATCCCACCATTACCCCCTCATCTACAACCAAAAAAACTGCAGAATTTTCAAGGGGCCTAGGATCTTTTCAAGTTGTTGTTTATGTTTAAACAAATGTATAATGCATTTTATTATGATGAATGCAAGATGAATAGTCTAGTATGTTTCTTTGAATGTTGTTCTTTGACTGTTTTTGATGTCTATTCATTTTCAACTCAATGGACCATTTCAATAATCCAATTATGTCTTCTGTGAACCTCAATCTTGTTGTTATATCATTTTGACAACTAGGGTTTCCCCAATTAACACCAGCAAGGAGTCAGTCTTGCACTGCATGGTCCTTAATCCTACAAAGCTGCACTAGAGTACCGAAGTTTGACATCATACTGCCAAAGTTGTCGAGATTGCTGATTCTAAACAATTTTGTGCTAAACAATGGCTTGTTGATCGCACCAGTGCCATACACTGAGTTCCCCCTGCACCAGCCTGTTGCTTGAATGTTTTGCAAGAACCTCACGCGCAGGCTCTGTTGTTTGGAACCAGTAACCTAGATGACGAGCAGATATTACGTTAGCACTTCGGTTCTCTATAGCAGAAGTGTAATAATCCCTAAGCTACTGAGCTACAACTTTGGTGACATGTTTCATTTTGGATGTCAGCGGTGGGATACAATTCTATATTCTTATGAATATTATACATCTAACGAGCTGGTCAGATCTGGGGGGCGTTTCACAAAGATCCTAAGTTGAACTTAACTCTAAGTGTGACTTAAAAATTATGGAGAGCCATTTGTAGCCTTATATTAAATATATTCAAAAGCAAAAATTGAATTTTTTTTAGACTTTTGATAAATTCCACATCAAGAACATGAAAGAAAATAGAAAATATGAATGATTTGAATCAACATTTTATGCCTTTTCAAATAACTTTTCCAAAATATTTTCATAATATAATATTCATATTAAGCTTAATAAAATAGTTGCGAACAGCTTTCCATACTTTTTAAGTCCAACTTAGAGATAAGTTCAACTTAGAATCTTTGTGAAACACCCCCCTGAATGGTAAAAATAATGCTAAATCGTTCCAAAATTGCTCCAGTGTTGTTTTTGTTAAAAAAGCAATGGAAATCAATTCTGAGGTTCCATTTTGACAATTTATACTAGTGAGCATCCTTCAATGATTTCATAGTCTTATTTGAATCAATCAGAATTTTCCTTTAATTTTTTTTTACAGAGAGATCTCAATAATAATTGATGTGGCGTCAGTTCAAAAGAAGCTACGCAAGCAGTGTGCAACATCTTTAATTGGTCTTTTTTTAACATGAGGTGGGACCAGTTTTATCCCGAACATTACACTATATATATTATATGCATCTAGTTTTTATATAATTTATATCGTTCAAGACTGACCAGCCCTTGATCTATTCTCGCCCTACATGAATTCAACATGAAACAATTTAATTCATATCGAAATTCAATAGGGTGGTTTTACTATTACCCTTTCAAAGAAAGAAAACATATTTGTAATTTATTCAACATTATATTCATGAGAATGTGTAATATCCTGGCAATATTTTTCTGCTTTTGGGAGCATAAGACAGTTACGGGTGAAAATTACATCTTTTTCAAATAACTATGCTATCTATGTGGCGATTGTTCAGTAACCTATGCAAAACATACATTTAAAACTCCCCTCAGACTATTCTTAAGTATATGATAAAACAGGGGTCACACAAATTCATTTGAATATCCTTTCTAAGAGGCTTTCTAAGAGGCATTGGAAAATAGTATAGCCTTTTCATCAACAAAAGGAAAAATTATTTGTTTTCAGATCTCGTCTTGGGAAATATATATAATTTGACTGTTCCAAACAACAAAAGGCACAAAAATAGTTGTGGCATAGATGTGTACAACAGATTATGACAAGTACGTTACAGAGACAAAAATTGACATGGAAAAAACTAGTTTTATTTTGCTGCTGTGAGTATTGTGGTATTGACTTGACTGTGATTACATAACAAACCAAGGGATAAAACAGATATATATCTGCACAAATGACATAGAAATATACATTGGGTAATTAACAAGTAACAGATCGTTAGGGCCCGTCTAAGGGTTCACATTTAGGAAAGGCAATGCATTGGAACATTTAGTACAAAAGCTCTTGGAAACATCAAATATTGCAATATTATGTCATTTCTTGTCAATTGATTTTAATCAAGAGCAAATTTCATTCACAAAACATGTGTCAGAATTGATCAAACGAACTAGCGAGTGTTAATTGTAACAATGCAAAGGTTCATCAAAACCTTCTTTATTCTGGGTTTAATAAAAATCACAGCAAACAATGCATGGTGGTTTTGAAGATTAAACAAAATTTGAAAAAACATGGATGTGAAGAAGAACAAACCACAACAAGCTAATCAAACCGTATGAACAATAACAACCAACTATTGAATAGGGGGGTAATTTGGTTAGAGACGGGATGATATCAGTTAAACAAAACACCACAACACGACACCAAAGACTAAGCATGGGACCGATGGATAATTTTCACTCTGTTTGGAGGAAACTGAGAATCAGACAAATACTGGAAAAAGGCGTTTCAACTTTAACAGGATTAAAATGAGTGATTTCCATCAAATTCAGAGAGGGGGCAACAATATTCAGTATATATGAATTTGGCATTCCTGGGGAGGATTTTCATGCATCTAGATAATCTTTTCAGGGTATTTGTGGAGTGAGATATATAGGGAAGGAGGATTGTTTCCCTATGAATGTTCAACACATGATTATATACATGGACGACAAATGGAATCGTTTCAAGGAACATAGAAATGGGCGGAAAGAACATGGGATGGTTCTGAACAATATTTTGGGCTCACCTAAAACCAAAATGGGGGAAATAAATGCAGTTTTGTTTTTATTATTACAGAGACAAGGTCAAAGAGGAAGGGTTAGAAGAGGGGTTGAAGAAAGATAATGCCACAATTATTTCTTTTGATTTTAACTTTAAAATTTTAACTTGGTATTCCCATTTTGTTGCTAGGAAATCGCTCCTTTCAACACAAAAATCAAGGTGTTCCCTAATGTCTAGTAATTCAAGTTTTTGTTTGAAATATTTCTGGCATCCCCCACCTCTGAAAAAGTTTTTACACTGAATACAAAAGTATACAAAGTTAGTGTTACATTCAAAAACATCTTTGGTGCTCGTCAAACAGTGGTGATTGAAATAAAGTCTTGTGAAATCACACCAATCTTATTGCGCCCTTTTATCGCAGAAAGAAACACTTGAATAATAGAATTAGTACTTGTGTACATCTGTTTTGCATGGAGTTCAAATGAAAAGTCTGTATCGTTTCATATCTTTACAGGACTATAAAATTATCATTAAAACATTTGTAGGTGTGGTTTGTTTTCTGTGAATCTGTTTGATTTGAGGAATATGAAGAGGTCCATTGTAGTGTTTTTATGACAGTACTGCCGATATGAGACATTTTATGTTTTGTTGTAATGTGGTTTTTGGAAGGTACTCTCTATGAAATACCGTTTTTCACAGGCTTGAATAAACTGAAAAACTGAATATCAATTTTTTGTTTAAAGATATAAAAGACCTTGATTTCCTGTGTTTCAAAAACTATTGTTGTGTATTGAAAGTATAAAATATAATTGTTGTTTACAACTTTCTCTGTCAAGAAAAGAAAAACATCAATTTTGGATGATAATGCTGATATTGTATTGTCCCTTTTCTGATCATAATTTAACGGTATGAAGTAGGGGTGATATTGTGATGTATTGTATCTCTCATCTTTTCTCTCTATCAGTAAAGTTAAGTGGGATATGATTGTATTTTGTTTAATATTTTTCATTATGTTAAAAGGACTAACCTGTACATATTTACCAGGACACCTATATTTCAAATCCATATTCTTTTCTCAGAACTGAAAATTAGAGTATTATTGTAAAAAATAAAATAAAAAGGATAGACTATTGACTGATGTTGATATAAAACCTGTGTAACAGTTCAAATGCTGATCCCTAAGCTCTTTTATGAATTAAGAAGAAATAAATAAATATAATTAGATATTTTTGTTTGATTATTGAGAGACCATTAACCAACCTGTGTATTGCTGGATTCCAGAATATGCTTGCGTCAGGGCGGTTAGATCAATATTAGCTGTGGGGGCAGTTGTGGGCCCTGTGCCCGCCAAACCGGCCGCCGTGCCCAAACTACCGACCCCGGCTATACTGCTCGGCAGCCCAGTGCCTGATCAGGTCGGGTCAAAGTTCAGGTCACACCAAGGGTGAAAGTTGAAAGGTCACACATCATGGTGGTTTGGGAAAAAGACAGCAAATTTTGGGATGGTGTTTAGAGAAACTGCATGCATTTTTTCCACTTTCCATTCAATCTTTGTTTTCTTTCAAACATTCTTTTCTTCCAAGTCATAAATTGTGAGGATGAAATGAAGTTTCCAGCAAGTCAAAAATGAGAAAGATTCCATACAAAGTAAAGATTCCCAAATGATGCATGAGATAGGCAAGTATAATGCATAGAAAAACATGTGTGATTGTATCCCTTCAAAACTTCACATGAACACGGCAAAATTCCCATCGAGTGCAGATATTTGTTTGTCCGTTTGTCCGTTTGTTTGTTTGTTTGTTTGCAGTTTTGGAACATTGATTGTCGGTTTCTTAAAAGCAAAGAGCAGGGGCTTTCCCTAATATGAGGATGTTAATTTAGAGCAAAACGAACATGATCAAACTATAAAACACAAAAGAAATTTGAACGCAAGACAAGATTTTCTACAAAACATCGCTATCTAGAAAGCTAGGATGATATTCAAAAGCTGTGTGATGGTCGGTGAGTTTTAATAGGTGCTGTCAAAGAAATTTCTATCACACAAACTCAAAAACATGGTTGATTTACAACGATATATTAACAACCGACAAGACAACTTTAAAGAAAAGTATTCCATGACGTATTTGGAACACACAGAAAAAAATTAAAATAAAAGAAAGAAATGTGTGCAGGTGCACTTAATGAGACTGCCTACACAAAAATCGTATTGTCGCAACAAACAAACAGAAAACTTTGGACGTACGTAGTCAACTGAACAATTTTGGACAAACTTTTGTGCTAGAATTTGTTAATGAACAAGAAGTAACAAACAAACAGAAGATCTGAACTTTTTTCCATTTTTGTTCAAAACTATAAATTCATTCTGCGAACAAATTGTTGATGGACTTTTGTGTTTTTTGTAGAACCGTATGTACCCTCTTCATGATACAGTTTTAAAGGGATAAATCACGCAAAGGCTGAATATAAATAATTAAAAGAAAGTAACATAAGGGAAGGGAAGGGAAGGGAAGGGTGGTATGAAAAATAAAAAAGGGGAGGGGGGAGGGGGAGGGGTTGGTGCTTTGGTATCAATACATGGTATTCATTCATAGGTTCATTCAGGTTTGTAACATACAGGCAACTTCATTGAGGATAAGACAAAATGAAAGGGGTGGGGAATCAACATACTGTACATAGAAGTTTCAAATAGTGGTTAGGTTTACATCAAAACAATCTGGTTGAACGGTGGATGGGGAGATGAAGGAGATTCAATCACATAGACATGTACACGTTTATCAAACAAAGCAGAATACATGATTAGATGGTAAGAACAGGTGTCTTAAAGTGGACCCATTTGTTGAACGGATAACTGACTTTGAGAAACAAATATTCCCTTATTTTTCTCTTAAATATTTAACAAATTCAAAGTCAACATGAATGGGATTAATAAACAATGTATATTCGACATGTTACAAGAACATTAACCATAAAATATTGTAAACATTGGTATATAGAGAAGGGAGAGGTGCATAGGGTTTAGCATGGCACTAGGTAGATCAATATACCAAGCTGCAAAATGCACAGACTACATCTAGCAAAAAGAAAAGTTACAACAAATTTGGCAAAGATTAATTATCCTTTCTCTACTGCTGTAAGCTTAAACATGAAAGAGAAAATGTCCTTAGTTTAAAAGGGTATGACGTAACTTTGCTGTCTAATTTTGCTTGAAGATATTGTTTTGGAATTTGATGAAGGTTCCCTTCACTTTGACTGAACATCCCTATAGTACAGTAACCCTATCTATATTTAAGCCATACAAGCAGAGATGCAAGCTAAGACATTACTTTCTGAACAAGTTTTTTAAAGCAGATAAAAGATATCCCTGTTTCCATCTTACTTTCGTACAAAGCTGTAACTATCAATCAAATATGTGTTTCGTTGTAATAACCTCTAGAGCAATCTTACCATCGTTTTTATATAATCATAGGTCCTAAAACTATATATGTTAATTTCATTCTTTCTATAACAAGGCCTTTTCTGACTTTTAGTATGACCATTTCTTGAAATGTTTCTTCATTGACTCATTAATAAGATGCTTCCATACTGATACTAAACAAACCATAACTCTAGGAAATTCTTTGCAATTTCATTTTGCTACAATCTCCTCATGACAATCAAGTTAATGCCATCAAATAATTATTCACCTGAGAAAGATTTTTCTTGTCATGAACAAATGTTATTTAGATTTAAAAGAATAACGAATGTGTAGGGTTTAGAGCATTTCATCAAATAAAGTGTGCAAATTGTTCAGTCAAGCCATGAGGAATTTACAGTTTTATTATTATCTTATCTTTGTATGTGTTTGATTATAATTAAATGGAAGAAATGTTGGCTTGAGTCCCTAAAAACACAATAAAGCATCAGATGCTGGGTAGGTTATTATTAAAGTGCTGATGGAAAGATAAAGATTGGACAAACAGCTGAAGTTATTTTTGGAATAGAGCATATATATATATATATATATAAAGCTAAGAGTTAAAAGGGAATATCTCCTACGAGTAAACACGTATCTGGTTCTAACAAACAAAATCATGACATTAAAGTCATTAATCAAATACCAGAGTTTTGATACACTTTTCTTCTTTCCTTTCAACTCTTGTCAGTTGAATTTTTAATGATTTCATTATTTTTTTTGTTTTAATTGCAGGATTACTTCTCGGTAGAGCTAGCTATTCTTATGTTTTGCCGGACAAACAAACACCTCTACCAGCCTGAGACCAATGCAACCCAACCAGTGAATAGCAACACAATAAAAAATAAAACAATAAAACAAATAAACATAAAGGAAGAATTGCAGGCAGCGAAACAAAACAATAAAACAAAATGAAATCATTCCAGGTTTGTCAGGTTAGTGTTAGTTAAACGCAGGTTAACACCACATACCTGCTAGTCCTTGTAGTCCGGCTGTTAGTCCCGTCATACTCTGTGTCGTGTTAGTTCCTGCTCCTAATAGGGAGGGAGAGAACAGAGATAAAGATGCAGTTGAGTACCGGCTCCATAAAACTTTTCTTTTGGGGGAATTGTCAAGATATACATGTATTGTCTACTAGAACAGAGATGCCAACCTCTTGACACAAAAAAACAGACTGAGAATTCTAAAAAAAAAAAAAATCAGATTTAGGAGAGAAAAATCAGATTTCACGAAAACTCAACACTACCACTGGCCCGTCGGCCCCGGGCCAGTAAAATTTCAGAAAAATGTTTGCTCTTTCATTAAAATTTAATGAGTAAATTTAAAAGCAAAATTTTTGTTGGGGTTGCGGGGTTTACTTGTACATGTTTCTATGCGATCCCGCTGTTTTTATGGGGTTTTTATTGTTGGAAAAAAAAGATGAAAACTCGTATTTCACTCTTATTATCGTACCAAATACGATTTAATTGTACTGGTTGGCATCTCTGCTAGAAGCAGGAGGGGAGCAAACCTCGGTGTTACATGAAATGAATTGAGGCCATTTTGCCTCTCAATAGAGGATATAATCTGTTGAGAGCCAGAAGGGTGTTAACTCTGTGATAAAGTAAATGAGATTAAAGCTAATCTTGAGCTCTGGTATGGGAATCTTATTTTGAAAGAAAATTGCTATGATTTATTCTGGATTGTTTATCCTGCAGTAGATACATTAGGTTGAACAAGTGAAATAAAAACAAATGCACACAAACTTACTGGGCATCATCTTTGATAAAAAACACAACTCTTATTTGCACACAGTGACCTGTGAGGCCTACTTACTCAGATTTCCTCTTCTTTCTATGCTCATTACTCAGCTCCTATACATTTTCTACCAAAATAGTTTGGCATTTGTCATTTACTTGTAATCTTGATCATTCAGTGTAAGTTATGTTGGATTCTGTAAGAATTTAATTTGTATCATTACCAGAACTTAAGCTTAGATTTGTAACACCCTTCTGGCTCCAAACAGACAATACATAAGAAGAAATCCACAGCTGAGTGCCAGAATGGCTTTAGCTTCCATATACTATAACATGGAGTCAATAACCTTCTCACTTTAAAGATAAAGTTGAGTTCTGGTCATGCGATTGCATTGTGAAAGAAACGGTGTGGAATCAATCATAAAAGGTTGATCATCTAGCATATAAGTGTTGGTGTGTACTGCAAGGTTCTGGAATCATCAAAATGATAAGAAATTTGGCCAAGTCTTAGTAAAGTTACAAGCAATGTTCACAGAAAGATGTATATGGGACTACACGAACACGTGACGTAAAAATTGTCCTGATTTTTACGATGTTACATGCCATATTTTGAATATGAAAGCATTTGAAGAGCCATGCTTTCCATGGAACATGTTTTATCTGATGTTCTTCCACATTTGCATAATAACAATAATGATGCTCACAAATTATTTTTCACCTCTTCCCAGAACTCAACCTTCTCTTTAAACAATTTAAATGTTGATGCAGAAAGAGACTAGAAGCACGTCACACAAAGGGCAAATGCTTAAAATCTTTAACAAACCAACATAATATTGAACAAAACAAAATCATATACCAGTTTATTTCCTGAACATATAAATGTTCAAAACACTCTAAATAGAGAAATGAGGATCGAAAAGGAAAGCAGTCTTGATAGATAATAAAGAAAATACAAGCAGGATGATGAGCTTAATCATATAAGAATCAAAAGTTGAACTGGGAATACCTATTTTATCTGATGAGAAGAAAGGCATTGCTGTAAAAGGTATAAAAAGGGTAAAAGGGGGATAAAAAGGGTAAAAGGGTAAAGGAGGGTGCAAAGGTTTGATGGGCATATTATAACTGAAAGATTGTAGATGAGGATGAAAGATCAATGTGGATTATGTGAACAAAAACATCTACCTGGTAAGCGGGAAAATTACAATACAACAAAAGGTCCTGTGTGTTACTGTAAGGAATAATTTCAGAAAGCTCACAGAGAACGTTTTGCAACTTCTGATTTCTTGAAGATGGATATCTGCTACCCATAACCCACTTGATCAGAATATGCATTTTTATTTCAAAGAAATTATAGTTTTTAATGACACATTGATTATCAAAATTGGTTGTGATGGTGGTATAGAGGAAGAGGAAGGGGAAGGGTAAAGGAAGGGTGCAAAATGCATTTGTCAAATAATAATGAAAAGGTGCATCGAGATGTGCTGAAAACAAGATTACAGAAAGTTTATAACACAAATGGTAAAGAAGGCTATTATGTAGTACTGACCACTTAGAGTTACAAACTAAAATGGAGGGGGGGGGGGATGTAACAGAAAGGTCAGATGATGGAAACAGATGCTAGAAACATAATATGAACAAAACATCAACACATAGAAAAATTATGGAAAAAAGGGATAGGTAAAATGAATAGGTCTAATAAAAGAAGAAGAATTGAGTTGAGAGTAAAATAGGAAAAGAAGAAGATTTTTGTAACTGATTATCACAGGAGTGAATGAGAGATGACCAACAATGACACACGCATGCATGAGCTATTGCTGGAGATGGTCGTCATAACAGTGATGATGATGATGACAAATTTGATGAAGAAGATGATGAAGATGAAGATGATGAAGATGATGAAGATGAAGATGATGAAGATGATGAAGATGAAGATGATGAAGATGATGAAGATGAAGATGATGAAGATGATGAAGATGAAGATGATGAATTTGATGAAGATGGAGATGGTGGTAGTGGTGATGAAGATGGAGAAGGTGGTGGTGGTGTTGATTATGATGAAGATGATGCGAGTGATAATGAATTTGACAACGATGAAGTGGATGACGATGATGATGGTGATGATGATGATGGTGATGATGATGATGATGATGATGATGATGGTGGTGATGATGATGATGATGACGATAATGATGACGATGACACTAATAATCAACATCTGCATTACATGTTTAAAGGGAAGGGTTAAGAAAACGGATACAACACAAATTGAATTCTGAAGAAAGAAAAGAGACAACAAGAGAGAACAAGTATGAATAAAATCTTATCGGCAGATAAAATATAAGACAAAACAAACAACAAATATAAGACAGAATAAAAATTAAAAGAATAAAGTTTACAATCAATGTTTAACATTAAAGCCTGTAATCTACTTTTAAAAGTCAATGATTTTGTTTTAGGGTCGATCTTAAGTCAAGTTTAACAATGAAAGTTAAACCAAGTTTTGCCTTTTTAAAGTTTTTTTTTTACTAATGTGTTTATTTGTTTTTTGTTTGTTTGTTTGTTATCTTTGCGTTACATTATGCTACAAATGCTTTCGGAACTACGCTTTATACAAGGCCCAAGGGCTTTATTTATGTAGTTCCCCATTTCATTTCTAAATTAGTTTATGAATTATTTTGTATCTTATGTATCAATGTTATATTTAACCCAGAATGAAATAAATGAGAATTGAATTGAATTTGTTAAACATGAATTAGACCTACTCTCAGGTTCAATTGAGTTAGTAGACTACAAGCATTTACATGGTGTTAATCAGGAGCATAAATAAAAACATCAAACAACACTGACAAAATGCACAAAACAATGAAAGCACACACACACACAAACGACAAAGTAGTGATTTTGATTAAAACCTTTTGGTAATCCTCTGTATCCTCCTAGCGATGGGTTTGACCCCATTCCAGAATGACCTGTTTCCAAGTTTTGATTGCGTTTAGAGGTTTTTTGGTATTTTTGAGGTTGCCAGCGATAGAATTTAAGAGGGAAACAAGAACAAGGGGAAGAAAAACAAAAACAAAACATGATCAAATTGATGGAGAAATATATCCTAAGCAAGTACAAAAGACATAAATGAGAGGTTTTTAAGTAAATATATTTGTCAATGAGGCAATGTAAATTAGCAATGAAAGATTTAGGTATTAATATGCAAACCAAGATGCAATGATGCTTAGTAAATATACAGTCACATTTTGTCCCTTATGTATAATTATAAAATGACATTTTGAAGCAAGAATGATTTAGAAAAAAAAGAAGCATGAGTGCTTCTTGGCTGAAAATATAAATATAGAAAGATAGAGTTTAGTTTAAATCCTGCGGATCAAAATGTAATTAGATGATAATGTCAATCTGGTGTTAAGCATGGTTATAATGAAAAAGAATTTCTACAGGAGCCTAATGGAATTAAAATCTTAATTTGAGTGTTGCCTCTTTAACTTCTGTGTTCTACAGAGTTAGGGGGAAATAAGATTTACTTTTGAAAAAAATATGCCCATGTAGATTAATTCTTTTATGCATACACTAATGTGAGTCAGTGAGAGAAAAGTTCCCAAGTGCATGAACAAAATTTATCTGCAATTTATCTGAATTCCCATGTCATATCAACCTCAACTTGTTTATTTTATCTGGTTCTACATCAACTGTCAATACATTGTACAGATACCAAGTATACCTACTTCTCATGAAGTAGTAACAGAATTTCAACCCAAAATTGTTATTTTCATCAAGATTCTTCATTCAACCTAAACAATACAGTATGAAGAATCGATATTCTCCTGACTAAGAATCAATATTCTCCTGACTAAGAATTGATATTCTCCTGACTAAGAATCAATATTCTCCTGACTAAGAGTCAATATTCTCCTGACTAAGAATCGATATTCTCCTGACTAAGAATCGATATTCTCCTGACTAAGAATCGATATTCTCCTGACTAAGAATCAATATTCTCCTGACTAAGAATCAATATTCTCCTGACTAAGAATCGATATTCTCCTCTCTACAAATTAATTCTTTTCAATGATTTCTGAAACACGCATGGGGTTCAAACAACACAAAAATAATCTTGGCAAAGAAAGTTAAGTCAATGAGATAAGAAAGCAATTATATATTTGGTGGGTAGTGACTGGTATTCAGCTCCAGGTTTGTTTTCTACATGCTCACATGATCCTGTAAGGAAAGATTAATCATTAGTCCATGAAATACAACATGCAGTATAAACCATCCATATATGAGGGTAAACAGGTGCTCAATATATCATATAACACAGAATGCATGAACTAAATATATTGCAAGATTATATAATGAAGGATGCGACACATCACATGCAGTTTGGATGATGGAAGAGTATACATGAGAGGATGCGGAACTAGCATTGAAGCAAGGATGCAAAACCTGTTATGTGCAACATTATGTAATACCAATGATGAAAATGCGTATCGTTATGACAAATGTAGCAAGGTTCCCTGGATATAAGAGAGAGACTTTTGTTTGCTTTTTTTCTGGTTGAGCCAGATAGAAACATGGAGAAAGATTCAAGAACAAACAAGAAACTGATGAAGGAGAGACATCACAAACATGGTATAAGAAAAAGGCACATAACGTCCCTATTTTCACGAAGTGACGGTAGTGAATAAAAATCCCATTCACTTTGCGTTACGGTTTTCCTCACTACCGTCACTCCGTGAAAATAGGGATGATAATATCTCTCATATTTCAATCAATTTTATTACATTCTATTCAAATAAAATTCACTTGCAACGCATAATTGAATGCCATGATGAATTTGGAATTATGGTGATTGGAATTCTTTGAATTGCATTGTCATTTGTGTCCATGTCAAGAAAGTTTATGTTAATTGAAAAATAATTTGGTCTTATCGCCCAGGATATCCACCTCACTATCAATAGTGCTCTTTCTGTGGGCATTGCAACAGAGCAATGACTAACCAGAACCAGTTACTATTATTGCTTCTTCTTCACCATACTTTATCTAATTTTTAGTACTAATATTGTGTTATTAAAATGTTTTGGCTTTAAGATATATGGTCTTTGGGAAGAGGGTCAATATAACATTTGAAAATGTAAATATAGAACATAGATGAAAGAAATTTAGACATGCAACATATCCCGTGCAGAATACTGTTAGCTAAGTGAACATAAGGACTTAGAAAAACAATGGAAACATAGAAGAAAAACTGAACATGTATTTTTAAATCCTTTTGATAAGGAAAAATGATTAACTACTTCCAAATTTGACAAATTAATCAATTTTTCTTGTGCTTATTTGACAAGATTTAAAAGTGACACTCTACTGTCAGGTACTGTTTTTTTTTTTTAACACAAATTTTGCGTTTATTTTATTTCATCATTCTAATAAGCTGTTTGAATGTTTTGAAGGAGAAAGTCTTATCCCATATGAAGCATAACTCCCAGATACATAGAGAAGTTATGACAAACAATTATTACTCAAAAGAAAGCAAGGGAAAGAAAGAGATATTAAAAGCAGAGAACATTTGCCAGATGGAGTACAAAGAAGGAAGATGAAACAATAACAAACAGACAAACACAGATGCACAAGAACAGCAAACAAAACAAACAAATACACATAACAAAGAGAGAGAAAATAAAGACACCTCCACCCCCCCAAAAAATGGTACTGATGTACAAGAGTAGCAAACAAAACATAACAAACAAATTGAGTTTGGCTTATCAGCGAAAGTAAAAAGGCACAAACACGATACATAAAATTACTGACAATTACAATGTACAAGGACATACAACAAACAAACCTCACAAACCAAAGGAGAAAGAGAAGAGACAAAACACCTGTGTTTGTTTGTAGATTCTGCTTTAGGCCACTATGTAGGCCAGTATATATACATGCAACAATAAAACCATACAAACCATACAAACAAACAAACAAACAAAACAAAAGGAGAAAGAGAAAAGACAAGACACCTGTATTTGACTGTAGGTTCTGATGTAGGCCGCTATGTAGGCCAGTAAGCCCAGCAACCAGTGAATTGGTATTAGCAGCCGGTGTCATGGTAGAAGCTGTAGTAGCAGTCCCTCCTGTTTGGAAAACCAGAGAAATAACTAGACAACACACAACAACAACAACTACAATCAACAAAGCAATTGTGACATCATACTACACGATTGCGACATCATACTAAGCGATTGTGACATCATACTACGCGATTGTGACATCATACTACACAAGGAAGGATATGGTGATATAAGTGCTATCAAGGGATACTAGATTCATGAGTTTTGATTTGGGGAGCGAAGTTTAAAATTTCACAATTAATTTTTTATTCTAGCTACAGAATTATTTTAAAACTCTTTATCTGCTTTTGTTGGCAAATTGAACAAGTGTTGGGCTGCCATAGTTGACTTTTCTCACATATACAATGTGTATGTATAGGAAACTCCAATTTGTAGTGGATAACGAGTTAGAGAAACAGGTGGGTCGGGTGAAGGAAGGGTGCAGTACTGTGAAGTATAGTCTGGGGGTGGTTGTACATTCTACAAATCTGACAAAAACATGTACGAATGGAAAATAAATATTTGCTAATTCAAGTTTGGGTGTCTTTACAGGGGATAGCTAAGAATAATTGAAGTACAAACATGCATACCATACAAAAATGAAACAGTAACTATTTACAGTGAGCAATATATCAGGGATCACCACAAAAGCAACAATTGAATCTGATAAAATCTGCACATGTATAGGTTGTGCGCTCAACAAGAAATATGCACATTGGATGACATGGGCAATTTCAACAAATACTTCCTTGCAACTTGTGGGGATTTATGAACAGCATATGTCAATGAAAAATTGAACACACACAAAAATAATTAATACTTGAATTAAATACATTTAGGTACATGTACATTACACCTTCAACGGAACACAACCAATGTTTGGTCAGAACAAGATACAAAAACAGGTTATGGCTATTGCTTTATAATCAAAACAATTTTGGAGGCAGTTTATATTGCATTAGGCAGCTACCCCGGTACCCTTTCTGTACCCGACGACACTAATCATTCCTCCACCCTGGGACTATCTACCCCCCCCCCCCCCCCATCCCTGACAATAGTCCCTGAATATAATCCATCTATGGTTGTCCTCCCCACTTGGCATTCATTTACAAGTTAAAGGAATGCTGCAGTTAACTGCTGTAGTCAGTCAGGTCATACAGGAACGACCCCTAAAGAGTCATCCATGAAAACCGATGAAGGAACATATCAAAACTTCGCACAAAATGAACGATAGTCAACATACAGTGTGGTGAAGACGGGTAGTAAGCACACGCATGACTGACCGTGAATTGGCTGAGAGATTAACCATTAGCAATAAAATGTGAAGCACAATCATAAATAACAAGCTGTGTTTAGAGAGTTCATGGTTACCATGGGAACGGATCATGGATTAATGATGAAAAGGCCATGTTGCAATGGGAAAATTAGCTGCTTAAAGATGGAAGATGTCCAGTATGTTAGACGCAATGTTGAATGAGCATTCAAGCTGAGCCGTGGCAGTTCTTTCATTCAGTTTACCATGTCGAATGTGAAAGGGGCTTATGGTGACGTTAGAAAATGTCAAGAGCGACTCGCAGTGAGGGCTTGATGGTGAGGAATACAGGGTTAAGAATGGCTGCAGGCTGGATGGGTACCAAAGGGTAGGCAGCAGTGGAATGGAAAATGTTTTATGAAAATTAGCAGAATATTACAAGAGGTAGACTAAAAGACAGGTGGAAAAAAAGTGAGCAAAGAGAGAATGACTGAGAAACAGATGGATGGAGAAATTGAATGGAGATATTGAGAGAATAATGAGCAGAGGGGAGCAGAGTAAAAACAGAGAAAAAGATGCACACACACACACAACATAGAGTGACTGGGTGAACTATCAAAACTGTTAATTTGCAGCTGATGACAGATGTGGGAATGATGTTAATGGGTGTCAGCAAATGAGATTCTAATATGGAATTATCAAGGGCTGAGAGAGAGAGAGAGAGGGGGGGGGGTGACAGAGAGAAAGAGAAAGAGAGAGAGAGAAAGAGACAGAGAGACAGAGACAGAGAGAGAGAGAGAAAGAGAGAGATGAGATGAGAGAACATGGTGATGAGTGTAGACTCAAGGGGGGGGGGGGGTGGTGCCACACATACATGTAATGTAATAGGAAGTGTTGAAATATTGATGTCTGACGGGACTGGCTGACATATATGAATGAAGGTAATAGCTACACTGTCTCATTGACGAGTGTATCATTGCATGGTGATGATATCTGCATGCTACATATATCATTAGGAGGTCTATACTTGTTACAGGTGTAGAGTTGGCTCTTGGGGGGTCGAGGATGTATCACAGAAGCGATACATAGACCAATAGATGACTGAATAATTAACGAGTGAATGGATGAATGCATTATTAAATGAATGAATGAATGAATGAATGCACAAATGAATGAATTAGCGAATGTCTGACTGAATGTAAGAATGAGTGAATGGATGAATGCATAAACGAATGGATGAATGCATGAACGAATGTATGAATGCATGAATGGATGAATGCAAGAATGAATAAATATGAAGGATGAAAAGGAATGAAAAAAAAATGATGAACAGCTAGTCAAATGAATTATGATAGAAAGAATGAACATGAATAAAGAAGAAAAAAATGAAAGCTTGATTGACGAAGCTATGAAGAGTCCAAGAACAAGATATTTCATGACCATTTGACCATTTGACCATACCATTTGACCCTCAAGAAGGCCTGCCTGTAAAGATCAAATTTATTGTTTCCCCTAAAAGGATGCTCAGTGAAATGTTGTACACAAAACCAGTGTACAAAGAAAACCTGCCTATAGAGACCGCTTTCTGTGCCTCGTTTGGGAAGTCTTTCTATACAGGTGTATCATTCATATCATTCCTATACCAACCTGTTGATCCGGGTGTGACTCCCATAATGCTGTTTCCTTGTGCTGCTGCTAGTAATGCTTGGCTCTGAGCTAGAGCGTTCTGGCCTTGACCACCCGTACTGTTCTGCTGTTGGTTGACCGCTGATGCTAACGCCGCTAGCTGGGGCATCGTCAATGCTGTTTGACCTACAGGGGAAGATGAATATTCATGTCCTGGCATGAATATAAAACAGAAGAAATGGTGGTTGGTCACGAGAGAGGTGCAAAGGGTGGAAGGTTAAAGGTTGTGGGTGTAAAAGGTCAAAGGTTAAGGGGTCATAGATCAAAGGTCAGAGGTGTCAAGAGGGAAAGGTTTGGGTAGATATCAAAATGTCCTACTATGAAAATGAAAGAGAAGATATGCTGGCTGGTTGCAAGAGAGGTGCAATGGATGGAAGGTCAATGTGTCAAAGGTCACAGGTCAAAGAGGTCAGGGACAAGGGTTTGACCCACATGGAAAGATGAATGTCCTGTAATGAATATATGCACAAAAGAGATGGTGGTTGGTTGGTCACATTAGGTGCAGAGTTTGGAGTTCAGGAGTGTCAAAGGTCAGATGAGGTCAAAGGTCAGATGATGAGGTTAAAGGTCAGATGATGAGGTTAAAGGTCAGATGATGAGGTTAAAAGTCAGATGATTAGGAGGTCAAAGTTCAGATGATTACAAGGTCTAAGGTCCTACAAGGTCAATGGAGGAGGTAATGAAGAAGGTGGTCGCTCTAAAGTGAAGTGTGCTAGATGAAAGGTCAAAGGCTTCAGGATGAAGGTGTCGCAATTTTCAGGTAAATGAGCAAATATTGTATTTTTTAACTTGCTGGCTCAAGAGCTGTTAATACCTCACTGATTACAATATTGAAACTTTGAATGGTTAATCATTCCCAAATCGCTCCCACCTCGTCTATGTGTAAAAGGAACTGAAAATCGATTATCCTCCGCAACGATTTATCGACTTGTTGGAATCACCTAGTGGGCGAATCTCTTAGGACAGACCTCCTTGATAATATCCGTCAATCATTTTTTCCCTTTCGATCTGATGTCATTTTCCCAACTCATGTACGCAGATCCCATTGTGCTTGACTGACAGAATAGTTTTTTTTTATCATGCAGGTGTGACTACTTTCATCATTATCGTCACATTGTATATGCATACAGTTTATCACTATTGTTGAGATGTGTCCTGGGGTGTGTTTCACAAATATCCTAAGTCAAACTAAACTCTAAGTTGGACTTAAACATTACGGAGAGCCATTTTTAGCCTTCATATAAATATATTCAAAAAGCAAACATTGAAGTATTTTAGACTTTTCATAATTTCCACATCAAGAACATGAAATCTCCTTGATAATATCAAATATGAATGATTTGAATCAACATTTTATGCCTTTTAAAATAACTTTTACAAAATATTTTCGAAGATGCTAAAGGCTTTCCATAATTTTTAAGTCCAACTTAGAGATAAGTTGATCTTAGTCTTTGTGAAACACTCCCCCTGGCCCTTATTTCATCGTCCATCCATCCTGATGACCTTACCTGGTAGTTGTAGGTTAGCAAGGTTTGAGACGTTGCCCATCCCTCCTGTCCCTCCTCCACCACCTGCTGCTGCTGCTTGCTGGGCTAACTGCAAGAATGCATTCTGCTTTGAGGTTACAGGGATAGGACACAACAAAAGACAAAATGGGGGAGAGGAATAAAACCAAAATACTGGGGTGAACTTGTGACATTTTGATTCTGTTTTTTTGCCAACATGCTCACACAGAAATCATTCATGCACAGTCCTGCAGCATACGATAATCAATGTATTACCACCTTCCATTGGCCAATCGGGATTCAACTCATGATAGCTTGATCCCCATTGCCCAACAATTGGGAATTCCCCTAATCACAAGCAAATCAGGATGCAATGTTTGACAGGGCTCATTTTAGATTGGCTTATAACATAAATTTGAGATTACCATTTTACTCCTAAACTATTCATGACTCCCACATTAGTTGTTAAATTTCACAAACTGTTACAAATAATTTATCTCTGATTTCTCTCAAATCAAATGTTCAAGTTTTACAAATAAGTATAGGTTGTTGTTTAAAAATAAAGTATGGGTTGTAGTGGACATTCTTTATGTTCACAACATTGGGCTAAGCACTTTAAAAAAAGGGTGTCAATGTATAATCATTGGTTTGATCTTGATTTAAAAACTTGGAATAGTGTTTGATAAAGGTTTTTTCATTGCTCTAATCTCATCATACTAAAAACTTGGAAAAGTGTTTGATAAAAGGTTTAATCATTTTATTGATGTTAATGACATTGGGTTAAAAACTTACAGCTATCGTTTGTTCTTTCATCGCTTGGGCATTAACAACATCAGGCTAAAAATACAAAAAAGTTGATATATTAAAGGTACTATGTCCCATTTGCAGCCAACATCAAATTCTGTAGAACTTTGCAGGAATTATGAATATGTCATGTATGTCCCTATCTGTGAAATTTAAACGTTAGCAGTGTCCTAGTATTCAAATTATGCAAGGAAACCTATTTACTTTCTAGACTTCACAGTCAGACACTATTGATTGACTGAATGACTTTTGGTAATAACATAAAAAGGATACATGAGCATTTGTCTATATCAATAACTCACTTCTTGTAATGACCAAAAATAAACTGGTTGAATCTTTGCGCAGCATAAAGCGTACAACCATTCGGTACACAGGGTCTGAAAATCAGACTATTACTAAATGGATTGCAATCACTAAAGTTGTTTCGACAACTAATGATCGTTATTTTCCCACAACTAATGGTCGTTATTTTCCCACTAAAAGCCATTTTCAAACCCTTTTGGTTTGAGGGAAGTTCTAAATTATAATTGTCTTTCAAATGCCGTTGGAATTTAACCTTTTCATTTTTGGGGGCCTGCAAATGGGACATAGTACCTTTAACCCTAACACCACCATGCAACATACTAGTATAAACACATGTAAGTATGGGATGTCCCAGTTTGACTTTTGATTTTAACCTGATGACTACTGGATTCTCTAACTTCCATAGGCTTTACACATGGACTGCCATAGGCTTAATACATGGACTGCCATAGGCTTTACACATGGACTGCCATAGGCTTTACACATGGACTGCCATAGGCTTAATACATGGACTACTTGGTCCCAGCAGGCAATGGGTTAAGCAGCATCGGGGGAGAGACTTACAAATAAGTATGGGTTGTTGAGTCCTGAGCTCTGTTGCTGCGGTGGTTGGTTATTCATGCCGCCACCACCTCCTCCTCCTAAGCAAGCCATTTGTAATAGATTGTTGTAGCACATCTGTTGCGCCATTTGTTGTAGCTTCTTCTGTTCCTTCTCTTTCTGTGTGTCTGCAAACTTAACTACCAACTTTGATGTACAACCCTGCAAGAAACAAGGAGAGAAAGATGATGTCACAACAAAACTCAACACTCCTGATGACGGATAGTCAATCTGTTCGAATCGTACTTCTCTTTAGAACCATAAGCTCAAGAAAGATTACAACAATCCTTCTCAGGAATACCCACACTCAAAACACGCTCTTCATTGCTGTTTTTAAAAGAAGTTTCCTGTTACATAAATAAATGCACAAATCCACTCTACATATATTCAATGTATTTAAGAAATTGTTTTCAGTTAACCTTCAGAATTGTATCATTTTTTTTTACTTCCTATAACATCATCTGAAAGTCATTCTTGAGACCATATGAAGAAATACATAAATCAATTTAAAAATAATTTTTGAAAAGGTGAAAAACACATAATCGACGGTTGAGAAGATGACCTTTCACGAAGTGCTAAAATTAGCTTCAGATGAAAATGCATTGAATATAACTTTTATGTTCATTCTCCTTCTTCTTTCATCTATTGTGCTTAAAGTCTTTCGCACGAAAGGCCACAGGTTAAGAGGATAAAAAGGTGAGATGTTTGGAAGATGAAATAGAATAAATGAAGACGTCTGCACCATCCTCTGGCTTTTTAGTTGGAGGAAAGAGAAGAGAGGTTCACCGAATTGTGAAGTTCGGGATTGATCACAATGGATTACTGAAAGGTTAGTAATGGTTTTCAGCTGCTAAAATTTTCTTGGGTCTTAATGCGACCTTCAGACTATTGAAAGCAAAATCTAGGTGAATCAGAGGAATTGAGGAAAAAGAAAATGGTTTCAACTACTTTAAAGAGATTGGGTATCTTTGCCTCAGATTCTAAACAAAATCCTGGATTTACCTCATGCTGCAATCATAATTATAACCCTTTAGGTCAGTCAGGAATCCCATGACTTTTTCAAGCCTGTCTGATTATCAAGATATTTATGATTGGAATTAGAAATGTCAAAAACTGTTTGCCATACAGTTTTGAACAGTTTTTTTTTAAAAATTACACTACAGACTATTGGGGAAAATGAGTACCGTATGTTAAACCGGTCACTCAAAGATTTTTACTTTTTTTAAGCACTTCACGATAATTTTGAAGCACAATTTGTTTAGGGCTTCAATATTACACCATATCACAGACACTGATAACACGTAGAGCCATGCATCTCAGATTTGTAAAAATGGAAACATTGTTAAACAATGCCTTTAATAGAAGGTTTTACAAGCACTACGACACAATATATCAGCTGCCAGCAATAAGACGGTAACTATCATGGACAATACATAGCTCTTGAATCCTTCTTCAAGCAGCTGATGTCTGTCTTTGTAAGGAATATTTTCATAATCTATAATTTGATAATCATTTCATATGACCATGAGAAATTGAATTTCGCTATCTAGACTTGCTAATTCCCATCAAACAGTTGCATATGTGGGCTTGATACATGAACTCAATCTTACATTATAATTATGTAGTGGGGAAAGAGTTGGGGTGGAGAGTTTTTTGTTTTTTTTAGAGGGGTAAGGGCAGGGGCAGGGGGCTGGGGCAGGGGGCTGGGGAGAGTGGAGGGGATTAAGAAGTGAGGTGAGGGTTTCAGTAAGGATTTGGTAGGTTCACATTTTTGTGAGGGGTAGATGAAGGATCAACACACTTTTGATATGGGAGATTTGGGAGAGTTGGGAGCATTTAGGGAGGATGGGGTGGGGGGGGGGGGGGCACTTGCGTGAAAGTTTTTTTTTTTTTTTTTTTTTTTGGGGGGGGGGGGGGTACTTACATCCATTATCCTTGATTGGTGCATAGATCTTATGCAATTAAGGGCCATCTGTCTGGTGGCATATGTAACAAAGGCACATCCTGAAAATCAAAGGAAAATATAGAATGATAAGTCAGTATAAACTGAACTAAAGTCTGGTTATATCAACTGAAAAATTAGATCATTCACACCTGATTTTCTTGCATTCTGTGGTGACATTCTTCAACAATGCTCTCAAAATATTTTTAAACATATGTAACTAGAATATGTAACTGGGAAGCTGCCCCTCCTCATTTGTTAGCAGTAAATAAAAATTCACAACATTTCATACTGATGACTTTCCTCAAAGATTTTATCATCTTGGAATCACTCCGCCACCGATTTTCTGGGGACAGATCTCAACAACGTTATCGGAGCGGAAATAAATTTACTTCTTCAATGTGACGTCAGTTCAGAAGATAACACATGGTCAATCTTCGCTCTTACTCGATTCATAGAAACTAAGCGATAAAATCGTTTAGGTCTGACCACTCTCAGGATACGTTAACCTTGTGGTGTGACCTGCCTTACCACTAAAGGTTTGTTCAGATATGCCGTGGTAAACCGCCGCCAAAAAACAGGCAGTGTTTTTTTGTAACGTGTAAAGGGAATGGCAACTGCATGCAAAAAAGGTCTTGCACGTATTTGCTAAGCTCTGTGTTAGTAGATACAGAAATATGAAGCATATTACATTTTATATCATCACAAAAAAAATGCCCTTGTTTTGCTGCATCATATCTGAACAATCCTTAAAGGAAATCTTGAGCTCTAACATGGGCATTGTATGTTAAGAAAACATGGCTATAATTCATTATGGATTGTTAATCGTGCAATAGATTGATTGTTTGAACAAGTAAAATAAAAACGACGTCACAAAATTTGCTGGAAATCATCTTCAATAAAAACCGCAACTCTCATTTGCACATGGTTTTCCTTGATTTCCTTTTCTTTCTATGCTCATTAATCAACCCCTATACATTTTCTACCAAAAGCGCATGCAATTTGTTTGTAATCTTGAACATTCAGTGTAAGTTTTGTTGGATTCTGTGAGAATATATTTTCTATCATTACCAGAACCCAAGCTTATCTTTAACAATTTAAGTGATATTTTGCCATCAAATTTTTGACAAATTTGGGCTCCGAACATTTTAGAGGAGCTTTTAATATATTTGTGCATACATACCTTTGTGTCCTCCCATCTGATCTCGTAGTATGTGACATTCCTCGATGGAACCAAACGCTGAGAACATTATTCTGACGTCGCTCTCGTCACATTTCTTTGACAGCATACCCACAAACAGTTTCCTTTCTTCAACTGCAAGGGAATTAAGACCTGAGAATGTGAATGATCCCCACCCTCTATCGGGGGTTCTACAGCATATACAAGATTGAACACGCACAATCCACTGCATGTCAGCCAGTGACCTTACTTACACAATTCAAAACATTACTACACAATCACATTTCAAGAGAATTTCAAGTATGAAAAAGAAAGTATGAAAAAGAATATTTTAGACTTTTTCATTAAAATGAACAAATCAATGATACAACATAAGAGGTACTTTCCCTTTTTAATTTCTTATGAACCATCCATGGAATTTATGTAATTTCATAGCTTTTTATAGAATGACCGCAAAAAAAATGACCTTATCTACACTGTATATCAAATTTAAATTTTGAAAAGTTTCGTGGATGGCCGATAGGAAACCCAAATACTTGTTTATGTATCATATCATAAATTTGTAGATTTTTATTAAAATGTCTATTATCTTCTTTATTCAAATTGAAAATTCTCTGGAAATGTTATCACGTGATGCTTGGAATGGACCATTGCTCTACAGAATATATCACGTCTAGAGAATGTGAAAACTGAAATTACTTCTAAATTATTTCTAAAAAAATATATATATAGCTCAAAATAAAGAAACCGACAGCCCTTTTCCAGTTTTGATCATGAGTTAAAATTGATTAGTAACTATGAGGAGTGGTTCTGAACATGCTGGGACCAGAATGCCTGTAAGCAAACACTCAAGTCTAGACGTACAATTAATATCTGATTACGCCATATTTATCTTCATGACGCGGAAACCACCAGAAGGCATGTCCCGGTAGTAGTCACATTCTGACTCGGAGTAAGCCTTAAATGTATTTCTCAACATTTTTCAAACCCCTGTTCAGACTACACACATTCAATGTATAGCTACACAAAAAAATGTAAATCATTTGTTTCCAGTCTGAACATTGTACAATAAAACTTTGTAAAGCAATACATGTTTGAGCATCATTTCAGTGAAAACGTCATTGGGTTCTGTTCTTGTTTCAGCATTGAATCGTTTGAAATCGTATAACCGTGTGGACTGATACGTGCCCAGCAGTCATGTCAGTTGATCTCTTCAAAACTAGTATCTACATATGACAGTTGCTCGTTGGATGTTGTTATACAGTAAGTGCGCAGCTTTTGCTGTACAATAATTTCAAAAAATGTTTCTGTATGAGTTTCATATAGGTTTCCTCTCATCTGAACATGCCTCTCTCCCATTTCAGAATTGTATATAAGTCTTTCAAAATGTAAAGAAGTAGCAATATCAATATCACTTATTAGTTGAAACAAAGAAATTGGCTCTTTTGTTACAATTTATTTACTTGTCACACAAAAGAACATTTTGTGTGAAACTGGCAACATCTTAAGATTCTACTTTCCAAAATAAAACTGTACCATTATGTATTCACTGTATTCTTATTTTCTTTTTGAAAGTAGTCAGGCAGCCCAACTATATGAGACAGTACTGCATCATGTATTTCAAAGTTCATAGATGATATTAATATGTGTAATTCTGTGCTTTAAAATTGGAGACATCAATTCTGGAAACTTACTGATTAATTTCCCACATATATGTATGTTAAAAAGAACAAAAACTACAAAACAAAGATTTCTATAAGAATTTAACATACAGCCAAATTATTTCAATTTTATTCAACCAAAAGAGTCAAATAAAGGCAGTATATATTTGTTTAATATACTATATTTATATATTCACTGTTCATTGATTGGTTAAAAGATTTTGCTGTACAAATCAAAGAATTCAAACTTACCCATTCCTGAGAATCCTGTCGCCTTGTCGTTTCCTGCGACATGAGTACTGTGTTAATTTTTGCTAGCCGTAAATAGTAATTTAGTTGAGGTACGTAAATGGTACTTTTGGCAAAATAGTGTTTATTTTTTAACATGTGATACACTTTTAACCAATCAATGAACTAGAATATGTGAATGAGGTATATACTATAAATTCATTCATTCAACTAGATATTTAACTATCATCACAATCAAACTTCATGGTAACATAACTTTTTCTTTTAGTTTTCTTTCGCTTCTACACATGGTCTCCCCTAATGAAATTGCTTTGAATGGAGATGGTACACATTTTAGGTCTTTTAGGTCTTCATTTTGCGTCTTCATGTAATGTGCTATAGAAATTTATTATTACTCATCATTATTATCAAAACGTTACTAAATTTACACTTTAGTGTGAACACTACTTGAAATGGTCTAAACTGGGCCTAACCCAGGGCAGTGGAGATGGTGGACAGTTTAGGAACGTTTTAAGTAGCGTTGTAAGTAGCTTTGTTTGAACGTTGCTCCTATCCTATCTAGCCCCATCACCACTTACCATCGTGCCTACCTTCACAATCAGCTGGCTTCATCTGAATCGGATGTCTCATCTGTGATTGGAAAAGAGAGAGAGAGAGAGAGAGAGAGAGAGAGAGAGAGAGAGAGAGAGAGAGAAAAATAATGAAAATAAGATTAATACAAATATTTTGTACAGACTTAACAAGTGAATCTAAATATTCAAAGAAATTGTGCAGCAAAAATGCAATTTTGCAGTAGATTATTTTGATACACATCACACATAAAGTAAAGACAAAAATATCTTTTGAATCAGACTACTGTTTCCAATTAAGTATCTCAAGATCTCACAATACCTCACAAGACCTCACTCACAAGATAAAATCAGTCATTTTCACTTTACAATAAAAGCATCATCTTTGCACTCTACAGCATACCTCATATCATATTTCCTCCGGTTCGATACTGTACATCGTAATTTCCTATGAAGAAGGCTGGTAGTATCATTCATAACCAATCTACACCATCATCACAAATATGGTCATGAGCTTTCATCATCACGCACGCCATGTTTCTACTCATTCTCACGGGTTAATAAAACATGCCTGGTTATTACACACATGTTCTCTAGGTAATGGGGGTCAGGCGTTCTCACGCTGGTAGAAGCGTGATCGCAAGCGTGCCGTCTTATCGGTGGCAACGTGCCTCGTGCTGGAGTGTGTGGAATGTTAACAATCATACTCTGTAGCATCCCTCCACTCCTCTCGTATCCCAACTGAGCGCAGTGTGATCACGCACACTTCTTGATTCACCAGGTGGGAAGATGGAGATGAGATGGAGGATGGTAAGAAAGATGAGAAGAGAAAGGAGGGGGGGGGGGAGAAGTGATGTTTGGTTTGTGAAGAGACAAGAAGAAGATGAAGATGAAGATGAAGAGGAGAGAATGAAGAGGATGAGGGGTGAGGGTAAGGGCGAAGGGCGAAGTTTAGAGTGAGGGCGAGGATGAGGGGCGAGGATGAGGGGCGAGGATGAGGGGCGAGGATGAGGGGAGAGGATGAGGGGAGAGGATAGAGAGGATGAGGGGTGAGGGTAAGGGCGAAGGGCGAAGTTTAGAGTGAGGGCGAGGATGAGGGGAGAGGGGAGAGGATGAAGAGGATGGGGGGCAAGGGTGAGCAGGGTGTAGGAAAAGGAGGGGTTATGAGAGAAGGAGAGAAGGAGAGAAGGAGAGATAGGATGGGAGGGTAGGAGGAAAAGATTGGAGAGCTGGGTTGGTACATGTATGTGATGTAATTATGACAAGATGGAGATCAGGATGGAGATCAGGATGAGGAGCAGGGTGAGAAGGAGGGTGAGGAGGAGGGGGGGGGGGGGGGGCAGGGGATGAAAAATGGGGAAAGGAAAATCAGTGAATTCTTAGCAATGAGAAGAAAAAGATAAGAGATGTGAACACAGACAGAGGAGAGTAAAATACGATAGAATAGGGAAGATAGTGAGAAAATTAGATATAGGATTAAATATTAATACAGAGGAAAAGCAAAGAAATGAGAATATAAGGAACAGTAAATTAAGAGCAAGAGAGAGATTAGAGACATAGATAGAGGAAGCGAGAAAGTGCAAGATCATTATAGATTGACAGAGAAGAAGATATAGGTAAGGGTGAGGGTCTACTGGAGTCGAGATAGAGGTTAAGTTAGATGAACGTTTTGGGATATGTTTCCTGATTGCATCGTAGCGTATCATCACAACTCACGAGGGATTCTACATGCCAGGCTGTATTTGCCCGCTACAGATTGGAATGACGAGGGGAGGATCCAACCGACCAAACTCGCAACGCTCTGGCTCGCTGCCGTGCATTTTTTATACGATTGTTGACGGAAAGGGGAGTCCTCGTAATCTTATTGGGATGTTATTAGTGAGGAATGCCCTGAACTTCTCTAGCACACCAATCTTTTATTTATTTTCCCAATATGCAGGGAAATTAAGATTGAGCTAGGAGTGGTATATTGCACTCAGAGGTGAAAATATAAAGAAAATCATATAATGTGATTCAAAAGCTAGTAACTTGATAACCTATGGCTTAGAATTGTTTTAGAGGATATAATCTCGAAACTATTTGAGAGAATGTCATCTCAATATAAAAGTCATAACATAAGAGTGTACAATACTGTTTGGACGATATATAGCATATTATATTATCTTCTGATCCATAGCTTTACATTTACTGTTCATTTAAAATGTTAACACTTGTGATTCACACAAAGGAAAAACATAAAATTCAAGTAAAAGGATTTAAACTACCTTATGGATTAACACTTTTGCATTAAATCTTTGCATTAATCATGGGACTTTGAATGGGACGGAACTCTTTTATATCTCCTCATTTCCACAGCCTTTTCTGAACCAAGCTGCACTGATCACTTTTTGTCATTATTTTCTGTCAGAAAAAGATTTATAACTCAGAAGAGAGAATCCTTTTTTAGCTCGTCAGGAAGAGGGGTTCTATTTTTAGCGCATCATACTCCATCTCTAAGCAAGGGAACTCATAAAGGTTGCTCGGGATGAGAATAAAATATACTGCAAATTGAGCGAGTAGCAAAGAGTAGCAAGGGGTCTATATTTAGATGAGTGTACAGTATCGCTATCACGGATAGTCGCGGGGAGTATGTGTTTGGGGAAGTGTGTCTGGGGGAGGGGGGGGGGGGGGCTTTTGGAAGGCAAGGTATCTTGTAGCAAGGCTAATGGAATCTACAAGACACAGGGGAGGTAGGATGATAGGGAGGATGAGGAGAGGAGGGTTGTGACTAGGTTGTGACTGGAGTGAAGAATCAGGATAGAGAGAGAGGAAGGGAGAGGGATGGGGAGAGAGGGGGAGAGAGGGGGAGAGAGGGGGAGAGAGGGGGAGAGAGGGGGAGAGAGGGGGAGAGATGGGAGAGGGGGAGAGAGGGGGAGAGAGGGGAGAGAGGAGGGAGAGGGATGGGGAGGGATGGGGAGAGAGGGGGAGAGAGGGAGAGAGAGAGAGGAGGGAAAGGGAGAAAGGAGGGAGAGGGAGAGAGAGAGGAGGGAGAGAGAGAGAGAGAGAGAGGAGGGAGAGAGAGAGAGAGAGAGAGAGGGAGAGAGAGAGAGGGAGAGAGAGAGAGAGAGAGAGAGAGAGAAGGATAATAACCAATAAAAACAAGGGGGCATTCGTGAGAGGCAAAATGGGGAGAGAGATAGAAAGAGTAGTCGTTGCAATAAAAAGACAGTCAGCATCAAAAGTGCATAAGAGGGATATCAAAGTGTTAAGAAGGGGAATTCCCTAACAATTCCTGAGCTCAATGGTGGTTGGTTAGAATACCAAATGAGAGTCTTAAATGTCATCTGTTTAGAACTACACATCCATGGCTCACTGCAGATGATATATCATAATATTAAAAAAAGAGCAAGAGAAAAAAAATATGCACGTCAGTGAAAGCGTAGCAGGCGAGAGGCAGAACAAGGTTGAAAATAAGGAGGGCGAGCTGAAAGTCTACCAAAAGGATGTTAACTTGTTTTTACAGCCTTCTTACTCTCAACATCATACCCGGGGGATGTTTCATAAAGCTGTTCGTAGAGTTACGCATGACTTTCGAACGACTTGTATATGAAAAGCCAAATGGGATGCTCAATCATTCTTGATTATTATTTATTAAGTTGAACTGTGCAGATGTAGATTAACATTCTTATTATAACAAACATTATTAATGCAAAGTATATTTTTTACCATAATTTAATTGAGGTTATTGGAAATATCAGAAAAAACTTTGGGCATCCTCTCTGGCACTTCATATACAAGTCGTTCCTAAAGTCATGCGTAACTTTACAAACTCTTTATGAAACACCCCCCCCCCCCCCACCTCCGATTCTATAACATTACTGGCTTAACCTTTCATACTGGAGACCATATAGCAGAGACGAGGGTAAAATAAGAAATTGTGAAGTATGAAGTCATGAGATCTTTGCAGGGAAAAAAATACATGGGGGCTCAGGGCGAATTAGCCCTCAAAATGCCAAATAGAGCCCCCGAAAGGCATAAAAGAGCCCCCCCCCAAAAAAAAAAAAATTGCACAGAGTTGCAAAACAAAACAAAGAGTGTTATTTTTATGCAAGCAAGCTTGAAAAGTAGCCCCCCAAACTTTTAAAGTATTTTTTTCCCTGGATCTTTGGTAGATATGAACATAGTCACTTCTACAATACTTGAAATCTGGCTCTCTTTTCCTCTCCCTCTCCCACTCTCTCCCCTTCTCTCCCTCTTCCTCCCCTTCTCTCCCTCTTCCTCCCCTTCTCTGTCTCTCTCTCCCTCTTCCTCCTTCTCTCTCTCTCTTTCCCTCTTCCTCTCTCTCTCTCTCTCTCTCTCTCTCTCTCTCTCTCTCTCTCTCCCATCTCCCACTGCAAAACTGTCAGGTCTTGTTGCCATGAGGTTGCAATGAACAACTTCACCTTCTTAAGCCTCACAATGCTATACAAGTTCACATTGACCATACTGAGAATAATTCACATTCAACCTCAAATGTCCCCCTGGTTCCCAAAGACTTAAACAGATCTGAGATTAGACAAACAGCTTAAACTCTGTAACCTTCACGATATCTGCTACCCCGACTGACTTTCATCCAAAGACCAGATAAATCACTCACAAATTAGAAATCAAGGGGTTTAAAGGTCTGTAAACAAGCGGGAAAAATCTAATCGCCCGGGCCCATCTTCGCATCCTAAGCAGGGAAAGAGATAGCAAGTAAGATAACACTTGAGAGGCAGAAGGAGCTTCATCCTGTGTTAAGATGATATCAATTAACAGCCTTCTGACTCTGAGACGACAGCATCGTGTTGATGAATTCAACCTAGAAGCACTAAACCCTGGCCATGTAAAATTCAGACTAAAACCTCTTTCACACGACACAGCAACCGGCCCGAGAATCGCTGCGCCAAATAAAAAAGACGCAAGCACTGTTCGCTTCTTTAAACAAAAAGAGGAGTGAGTGCATGTAGGTTTCTATGTTGTGCACAGCTACCCTTTACCGAACACTTGGCATACGTTTGCACAAGAAATGGTCTTTATTTCGTCGCATTGGTTTTTTGAGGC